ATGAGCTTCTCAACCCAGAGGCTGGGGCAGGGAGAAGTGGGCTGCAGAGCCCATGGACTGACAGCTTCCAATTCCAGGTCCAAGCTTGCTGCTGTTGCTTGCTCTCTATGCTACCCTCATCCTGGGGTCTCCCTGTCTTTTTTTTTTTTTAAGATTTTGTTTTATTTTTATTGGAAAGTCATATATACAGAGAGAAAGATCTTCCGTCTGTTGATTCACTCCCCAAGTGGCTGCAACGGCCAGAGCTTTGCCGATCCGAAGCCAGGAGCCTCTTCCGGGTCTCCCACGTGGGTGCAGGGTCCCAAAGCTTTGGACTGTTCTCAACTGCTTTCCCAGGCCACAAATAGGGAGCTGGATGGGAAGCAGGGCCACCAGGACATGAACCAGTGCCCATATGGGATCCCAGAGTGTGCAAGGCAAAAACTTTAGCCACTAGGCTACTGCACTGAGGCCTAGGACCTCACTTTGTTTGTGTAGGCATTGGGTTATTGTGAGGACAAACGGCAGATATTTTGTGCAGAATTGATGTCCAGTAAGTTATAATAGTTGGTCGTTCTCAGACAGGTGCTGTTCTCAAATAAAGGAATTGGATTTCCTTTCTCCTGGCTATTGTTAAATAGCTGGGCTATCCGGTCATCCCACAGGTCTTTTAGTAAAGAGGCCACATTTTTAGGGGATTTACTGGAGAAGAAAACATAACATCAAAGGCTTGAGAGCTGGTGTTGCGACACTGGGCATAGAGAAGAGTTTTATAAATCCATTCACAACTGTTTCTTGAAGACTGTGTGTTCTAGCTCGCCCAGGAAGCAAGAGCCCGTGGTAGGTACAGGCTGGTGAGTCTGACATGCCCTGGGGCAGATCACTCATTGCAGGGCCCAGGCCTCCTTTGGATCAGGGACTTCGATCTCAGACTGTAGGCAGCAAAGCAGGCATCCTGCCCCACCTCTGGCATCCTCAGTTAGCCTTCTGTGTCTCCAGCACATGCTCCCTGCTCACTCCCACCCTCTTTCTTCCTCTTGTGCTTGCTCTCCTCTTCCTTAAGCTGATTTCATCGGAAGTGCACACAGAAAGCCTGAAATCGCCCTTGATGCACCCAAAGCTTTGAGCATCACCACTTAGCCCAGGTGGTGTACACCATCACACCTGCGGGGCAGTGTCCATGGATGGGTCCTGGCAGGCCCATGAGCCCAAAAGCTGGCTCTTTCAGGCCACAGGGATAGGGCCAAGGCCATCTTTGTAGTGGGAACCACACATGGCAGAGGAGTTGTGGATGAGTGACACTGCACAGCCTGCAAGAAGACAAGATGCCCTGGCTGGCAAGACCTGGGCCAGGAGAGAGTGGCGAACAAAGAGCAGCGATCAAGTGTTCAGCACACCAGGGACTTGGAGTGATGAATGCTTGTTGGTGGCTGGCGAAGAGGATGACAAGCAAAGCTTTCTGCTCACAGCGGAGTAAAGCCCTTCAGATACAGACCGCTTCATAGTTGAAGAGAAAATCCTCTTGTTAGCTCATGTGGTGTCTGTGCATGAGGCCTCAAGGCGGGGTCTCACAGCTCACATTCTGAAAGGGCTTGCCCACTCGGGTTGCGAATCTGAGTCGAGGCACTTCATTTTTGTCATGGCCTCTCACACAGCTACAGGACCAAAAGTTGGTTTCACTTACAAACACCCTCTATGCTGTGCCTGTCTTCTACTGCACAGAGGGGAAACAGAGGGGCAGGTGGAGCCCTGAATGTTCAGAGCCTGTAGAGTCCCAGTTCAAAGCCACCATGTTTAACTAGCATGCAGTTGTAAGGGGATGGAGCATCAGGCAGAATTGGGAATATTAGCAGACTTTGAGTCCGAGCCATTTCTACATAAACAGAGTTTTGCAAGGCTGGTGATACAAGTCAAGGGCAGCCTGCTCATCTTGCCTGGCCTTGCAGTGTCTGCTCCAACCTGGGTAGGAATGGTTTGGCCACTGGCATAGGTGTGATGACTTGTTGTGGGTCTTTTGTCATCAAGCATCTCTGCTTGACCTGTTCTTGGCCTGAGATGAGTGACAGGCCAGGGGAAGGTGTCCTGCTGAGTCTGAAACCCATTCAATGAGGTGGATGTGACGTGTGATTGCCCCTGGAGGCAGGGACTTTCCGTTTTTCAGGTAAAAGACCTCCAGATTTTTATTAGGAACTTTCAGAAGACTTGGGTGACACTATCACATGCAGGCCCAGAGAAAGTACTTAGCTGATTGAATGGGATCGAAGTGGAATTATCTGGCTAACTTTATTGCTGTGTGCATCAGCTTACAAAAGGATTACCAGATGATCTATAATAGACACACAGGGTATCTGTAGATACCAGGATACTAAAGATGGGAAACTTTCAGACACTTGAAAAAAAAAGATGTGGTTGGCTTTTCTAAACCCAAGGATGTGAGAGAGACTGCTACCTTTGAAGGGATGCTGTTCTGACATCATTCTGTGGCTTTCGGTGAGACAGTGAGTGCCAGGCAGTCATGGCATCTGCAAGATGCCTTCACTTGTCCGTTTGCTACCTGAATGACTCCTGGACAAAGCTGTATGTTCCCACGCCAAGGGAGCAAGACTAGCCCCAAACTCTTATTTCACTTTGATGGCTGGTGAGCTGGCGCGTCAGCTGAGGGATAAGCTTAAATGAAAGGGGCCAAGTTTAAAGAGACTGGAGTATAGAGTCAGAATGGTTGGATTTGGATCCTTGCTTGGCCCTCAATGGTCCTGGGCCTTAAGTAGCTGCAACTCTCCGTGAACTTCACTTTTCTCATGGTGATGATGCTGTCTTTCTTACTTACCCTGCAGCTGTTGCAAGGTCAACCAGAACAAATGCCTTGAGAGCTTGTTGCAAACTGCCAAGTTCTCTTTAGAGGCAGACATTTTGCTTGGGAACCTGCATCCCATGTAGGGGTGCCTAGGTTGGCATACTGCCTAGTCTTCCATTCCAGTTTCCTGTTAATACATACTCTGGAGGTAGCATACGGCAGCCAAGGTACCTGAGTCCTTGCTGCCTGCTGGGAGTCCTAGATTGAGTTTTACGCCATTGGCTTTGGCCTGGCTTGGCCCTGTCTGTTGGTAGGCCTTTGGGGAATGAACCCGTGAATGAAGTTCTCTGTTCCTATCTCTCTGTCTTTCAAATAAAATGAAAAAAAAAAAAAAAACATGTAAAATTCTATCTGGAGTGTAAGGAATCCCAGAAGGTTCATGGAAGATGTGTGTTCCCTTTAATGCCATTTTCCCATGAACTGGTGGCAGGGTCTCCTTCCAGGTAGCTGCCTGCTAGGCCTGGCCCGTCCGGAGTCCCTGTGTGGTGTGGTTAGGTGGCAGGCTGGAACCTGGGGTTGTGGGACACTGCACAGTCTGAGTGGGCAGCTGCTTCCCTGCCCCAGGGCTGGTTGGCCAACACTGGGTGGGCCTGGTATGGGTCTGCACAGAGCCATGGCCAAGTATCTGAAGTGGTAAACATGTTCACCTGTCCTCGGAGCCTCAATGTTTCCTCCTCAGGCACTCCGTCTCTTTAGGAAATCCCAACAGTCTTTTGCTTTACCTCTGTTGTGTTTTGTTTTTGTATTTGACTGCTGAGTGTCAGGAGTTGCTGAGTCATATTCTGTCTGTGCTTGGGCTGATACCTTAAGCAAGGGCGGCCCCAGGACACTGTTTCCCTCCAATTTGTCTGGCTGGAGCAGACCTGAGTGTCTTGAGTGTCAAGAGCACTTTCTGTTCAGCGATTGATTTTTATCCATTCCATGTGAGACTCATGTGTGGATTTCCTTTTGTCGGCTTTACTGCTAGATTAACAATACAGCCTTTATGTCATTCCTACTGTGTACATTGGGGGGAAACATTTGTTTAGTGTTGCATGGCACTGTCTCAGGAACACTTAGGGCTGGAGTGCCTAGTGGCTAATTTGGGAACTACAGCTGATCTACAGAAGGGAGTTCCTCTTGTTTAGATTTAGACATTAGAAGCAGACATCTGATGTTTCAGAATAACCATCTCCAGTCGCTATTTATTTACCATCATTGAAATTTACCCTAACTTGTGATATTTGGTTTTGCTTCTATGTCTTAATGTTGGGATTTTAGCTTAAGTGGAAGTGTTCTAGTCAGATAGGATTAGTCACAATGGTGATGGTGTTGATGTGCACTGTGGCGGCAGAATGCTTGGGAAGCAACTGGCTGACATCGTTAGAGAGACACCTTTGGCCCAACTGAGTCCTCAGAACTAGAATGTATGCACTGTTCAGGAATGGGCAATGTGGTCCTTACATGGGGGAGACTCTCATCCTAAGATACAACAGCCTCTCTACTTGATGTCAAAGCAAATCATGAACGTTTATTGGGCAGCATGACATACTGCACTGGGAAAGTTTACAGTGAGAGTCAATGCTGAGGTCAGTCAGTTGGACAAGAGGATTTCTTAAAACTGACTCATTATGCAAGGAGGAAACAGCAGGCAGAAGGCAGCAGGGAGGGTATGCCATGACCAGGGCTTATCTGAAAGGGCAAGACTTAGGGCAGAAAGATCAAGACCCTGTAGAGAAACCAGCTGGCATTTAGCTTCTAGGGGTTCATTGTAAGGGTAAGGAAAGCCTATCTTTTCAACATTATACCAAGAAATCCTTGTAAGGGACACTAAAGAATAGCACACAATGTGTGTCTGCTGTATTTTTGCACTGACCTTTTGCAACTTGCCAGAGAATATATAGTCCTGGCCTGAAGGAGCAAAAAGAGAATAGATGAGAAGGGATGCTGTAAAACATGCAAGTGTTCTGGCTGGCAGACTCAATGATATGGTGTGTTTCTATATTAGGTTGTTGGTATTAACTCTGGGAAGGCAAGGCTTTTCTTCACGGCTTGGACCTCAGAAATGGCCCTTGTGAGCTCAGCAGCTCCTTGTCCTGGCTCTGAGATTGCCAGCATTTCTAGATGTCAGGGGTCAGCTTGGAGTGTTTCACTGTATAATGCTTTCTTGTGTTGTGTCCTCTTTAAGAGAAGGAAGTGCCCAACAAGCCGTTGCGTGTGCGTGTCCGGTCCTCAAATGACAAGCTGTCTGTGGCATGGAAGGCCCCACGCCTGTCTGGAGCCAAAAGTCCACGCAGATCACGTGGCTTTCTTCTGGGCTATGGGGAGAGTGGCCGAAAGATGAACTATGTGCCCCTGACGAGAGATGAGCGGAGTCATGAAATCAAAAAGCTCGGTGAGTTGGGTAGCAGTCATACTCTGTGTCCGGATGGCCTTGGCAATCGTGTCGACTTCTAGAAGTTCCTTCACGATAGAACATTTGGTTTGAGCCGTGATGTTCACTCCCCTGACATTGTAGTTATTTAAAATTGTCTTCTGTATTCTCTGTCCTGGATTCCATCATGAATTTGAGCAAATATTGGACCTGAAGTTCGGAGTGGGCTCTAACCCTGGTCTGAATGGAGAGGCTGGACCTTTTGGTTCCTCCTGGTACAATGTGTTTGCACATTGGATTTATACTATAAATGATCTCAGAGGTTACGGCGAGGAGGCAGAAGAGGTCCAACCAGAAGCTTAGCCCAGTCTGGGGGTGCAGGACAGGCTGAAGGGAATTCTCCATGGAGCTGGGCTGGGCCTGCTGGGGCTGTTATCTTACTTCATCCTGCATGAGCCTCTCATTGCCCCTGAATACATGGCACTGCTGGGTGTTCTCCCAATGTCCAGGACCCCGCAGGAGATTGGGCCCAGGGTCCTGTTGGCAGAGCCCCTCCCCAAACACTTATTTACCATGTCTTACTGGGGAGTAACACTGGACAGCACAGTGTTGCCCTGGCGGTCAGAGCAGCCCACAGAGGGCCATGCCAGAAGAACATCCAGCAGCCTTGACCATGGGAGTCACAGGAGAGAGATGACATATCCGGGCCCCTGGGGGAGGGAGCAGCGGCATGGGGGCAGGAACACGTGTGTTTGGAGTTCTTGGGGAAGTGGCCACAGACCTCTGCATGCTGGGACACTGTGCCTCTGCTCCATTAGACACCTGAGAAATGGACATTTCTAACTTCTGTGGTAGAATAAAGAACAAGGGCCTGCATATGCATGACCATTCCGGTCGCTACACGGGTTGACACATGGGGCAGAGCTGGTGGTAGAGCCGTCTCTGGCAGTTCTCCAGCAGCTCTCCCTACAACAGACCTGAGGCACCCATCTCTGCCAAGGACCATGTGGATAGTTATGTCATTTGTGGGCCATACAGTATGATTAGCTTACACATTAGGATGCTAATTTTGAATTTTGGAGCTCCTGAGCCTAGATCTGCCTCTCTGTGTAGCACACCATGTTGTGAAGGGATCTTGTACTTTAGATCTCCCTTTAAGATCTTAGAGTCCCCTCTGAACTTACTGAGGTATCTTCTAATAATATAATGACATGCACTAGAAATAGTGCTGATGAGAGCTGCAACAGGGGACTTTGTCCCTGCAGCCTGGAGTTAGGCACTGGTGGCTTTGGACCTGGGTGAGATTGTGAGTCCTGAGGGCTGTGGCCTTGGGCAAGTCCTTTGGTTGCTGTGGTTTTATGTCCTGATTGGTAAAATAAGGTCTCATAGCTCCCAAGGTCTCACTTGGGTCTCAGGCTCTGTGATTCTAATGGCCTCAAAATATTAGTTTTAGCCAATTGTTTCAAGTTATTTTCTAAATAAAATGTCAAGTTTAGAGGAAGATGGGTGGTGGTGAGTCTGATGTATAATGATAGGGCAAGGGTGGGGGTTAACTGGAGGAACATTCCAGAAGTAAAGGACACCTTTGAGCAATTCCACCTGCTCTCAGCAGATCTTTAGAGTCCTTGCCCTGGGAACTTCAGTTTAAGAAGTCACAGAGTTCCTAAAGAACAGGAACCCTTTCTGGGCATCTCTGCCTCTCCCCTTTTTCATGATGCCGATAACAGCCAAGTGATGCCCTCCTTTTATTTTGGAAATTTTTAAAAAATCAAATATTGCCTATTTCTTTTTGAGACCAAGACCCATTTTCCAGGATAGCTGGTTACAATTTAATTTCTCAGTCTCTCACATTGAGTGTTCTTTCAGAGTTTAGTTCCCTGCAATCCTTAGGTTCATCCCTAGCTGTCCTGCGGAAGTGGGCAGGCGAGCAGAGAGGCGGGAATTGCCAGTGACCAGGACATGGTGCAGCCGCAGTCTCATCCTTGCCCTTTTCCCCACAGCCTCAGAGTCGGTGTACGTGGTCTCTCTGCAGTCCATGAACTCCCAGGGGCAGAGCCAGCCAGTCTACAGGGCTGCCCTCACCAAAAGGAAGATCTCAGGTGCGTTTCTGAGGGTGCATGGGCTCAGACCATCTGTGCATGGTACAGACACTTGCCTGGCGATGCGTTATGTGAATTTCATGGAGGCCAAAGGGAGTAGCAGGGCAGACAGGTCAGAGTGTGGCTGGGAATTTGTCTCGCACAGGCAGGATCTGGAGCCATCCTGGGTCGAGCTGTATTGCACTGCTTGGGACATCTTCATCATGCACTGAGTTTGCCATGGCAAAAGCAGCCAAGTCTCGTTCCAGGCAAAGGCACTGCCTTTGAACTGGCCTGCCAAGAACTGCCTTTGGCAATGCCCTGGCCCAAGCAGGAGCTGGAAGAGTTGTGTGGAAGGGTGGGATGCAGCACGTGCACACAGATGTCATGCCAGTCATGTTGGTATTGAACAGTGTAAGGAAGAGTGAGAACAAGTGAATGGCTTGCTGGCAGTCTTCTCACAGTCCTCCTGCTGGGGGACATCCCCCCAACAACTGCTCACAGATAGGACTCATATAAAACAAATTATTGGCCCTCTTCTAGACCCATGTGCCTTAAGGAGGCAGCCTACAATGTGATCATTATCATTATTCCACCCTATAAAATGGGCTTTTATATGCTTTTTTTTTTACTTTTTGCATTGTGTAAAATAAGTTCCATCACATGATGTTTCCCTGTTACTACTCATTGACCATTGGCCCAGAGAAAGACTCGATGTCACTTGTCTAACAGGTGCTGAATATTTCTACCTTGTCCTACTCATGGCAAAAATTCACATTTTTTTGAAACACAGTCCCAGAGAAGTAAAAAGAAAAACAGAACCCAAAGCTAAAACAAGGAACTCAAATCCATTTTGTGAGGCATTGTTAGGGATTTAACTAAGACTATAAACTCTGTGATGATGCTGTAGCCTATTATCCACAGGAATACTTCTCTGTAAGAAATTGGCAGACTGAATTCTGTTTTATACTTGAATGAAAGTTCCAGTCTACCTGGAAGTCATCCGTTGTAAAATGTGAGAGCATCGATCCCCATGCTTTTCTTAACAGCTATTGGAACCAGCATTTTCTTGTCTTGCTGTGATGCTCAAGCAAACGCATACTGAGCTTTTTCTTCCCGTAAGAATTTCATTATTGTGCAGGTGTTTGACCTCCCAGTTGAGATGAGGGTTGGCTCACCCACGTCTCACTCGGAGCACTTGTGTGCACTTCACACTCTGGCTTCAGGTCCAGTTCCTGATCATATACCTGCTAGGAAGCGGTGGTGATAGCTCAAGTCTGCAGTCACTGCCACCCACATTGGAAATCTGGATGGATTTCCAGGCTCCTGGCTTCTGCCTGGACCCAGCTGGCTGTTGCAGGGGAGTGATGGGAGCTCTCACATTCTCTTTCTCTCTTGAATGGATAAGAGTTTTTAAAATTTTATTACTTCCCTGGAACTTACAGCAAACACTGAGAGAACTCGGGATACTATGACATGTCTTCGACCAAGACAGAGCACCCTCTCTGTGCCTTGCTGTGTCTTTTGGGTTGAGGGGCTTTGCAGGTGAACTGCCCAATTCATAGGCTGTGTGTGAAAGAGCAAGAGTGCAGATTCATGTTCTTCTATGTTCACGTAATCGACTAGCTCCACATTCATTTCATTTGAGCCACATTAACCATAGGGATTTAGACGTTATGTAGGGTGAGTAAGACAGTCTTTGGCTAGTGACAACCTGAGCCTCCTGTTGCCATTTCAGAAGAGGATGAATTGGACGTCCCTAAAGACATCAGTGTCCGAGTGATGTCATCCCAGTCTGTGCTCGTGGCCTGGGTGGATCCTGCTTTGGAAAAACAGAAGAAAGCATCAAGGTACTTTCTTTACCTTGTGTCTTTCCTTGGGTGTGAGATGTGCTTTTTCCAGCACTGCAAAGAAATGTGTTGGATGATTTTTATCTTCTGAATTCTGTGAATTCTGGCTTCTTTTATAGTTGAATTGTAGGATGCTTTGTGACAATTGTTACAAACCAGATGCTACTAGGTGTGTGTGTGTGTGTGAGAGAGAGAGAGAGAGAGAAAGAGAGACTCATTGGGACCTCTCCTCTCACCATCTTACTGGCTCAGAGAATTTGGTATTGTGTCTGAAACTTCCTGGATTCCAGCTCTCCTGCCCACTCATGCTTCACTTTGTCTCATTAACATGCTATTCGTGCGTAGTACCTGTCCTGGAGGAGGCTGAGCTACTCCTGCCACCCAGGGGAGTCATAGGTTGGATTTTTAGGTACCGTAACTCTTCACGAGACGTCTGCTGAATCCCAAGTTGTTTCAAATTTAGCTCATTTCTGTGAAATACAGTGCACCTTATTTTCTCTTAGAAAATGACATTCTACTAGCCAAGATCTTATATTCATTTGTGATAGCAACAGAATGAAAACCAATTGTGGGGTTAATATAATTTTCAGTTACAAGGCTACTGTGATCCCAATTTCTGATTAGTAGTAAATGAATACAGCCATCAAGTTTTATACGTTAAATGACTGAATATTCATTTGGCCAAAAGGATGATTTGGTGGCCTTGTTGTGTATCAATACAAGAGGTCTTCCCAAAAAGTTCATGGAAGAAAAAGTTCTTCTTTTTCTAATCCTAATCATGTATCTTTTAACTTCCTTTTAAAAATTGAAGTACCCTAATCTTTGAACCCATCCACCACTGGAAAGGGGGAATGCACTTAGAATGAACAAAATGGAATGCTGAGCTGTTTACAGCTCCATGGTTTCGTTTACCCTCTGCTAGTAAGGAAAGAACATCTGTGTCTTCCAAAAGACCTTGAAAGATTCAGAGGCATTCTTCCCACATCCAGCTGGCCTTCCCCATGACCAACTCCTGATTACTGTTGAACTTTGATTTCCAACAGCTTGTTTATTTTTTCTTTTTCAAAATTTTATTATTATTCTTATCATTTTATGACACAGTTCCATAGGCTCCTGGTATTTCCCTTATCCCAGCCCCAATTCTCACCCCCCACACCTAGTTCCTCTGTATTATTTACTCAAGTATAGGTTTTCATACACAGTCCTATGTCCATCATTGTGCGCATGGACAATGGAAGAGAGTCCAGCAAACTATTGTCAAGATGTAATAAACAGTTTCATAAAAGTCCATCTTTGTCTGGAAGTAGAAATACATACTACATTGTATCTTCACATATGGATATGTTAGTCTCCATTTCACAGCTATTGTACATCCCTCAAATGAAAAGTCATAACACAAAATCAACAACAGGAAGAAAGATAGAAATGTACAATGTCATGAATTCAAATTACATGCTGCTAGGGATGATAGTCTCCATTACACAGTTACTATACATCTGCTAAAATGAAAAGCCAAAAAGCAAAATCAACATCAGGAAGAAAAAAGAAATTAATAACACCATGAAGTTAAATAACATGCTACTAAATGACTAATGTGTCGCTGAAGAAATGAAAATCAAGAACCTTCTTGAAGAAAATGATGTTACCGTATGATCTAGAAGTCAGTGAAGAATTTAATCAGAAGAAAGTATTTCGAAGAGATGAAACTAACAAAAAAAAATCAAAATCCATAAGATATACTTTCCACTGATCTTTGTTGGTGAGATATGTCTCATGCAGGCAACAAATAGATGGGTTTTGTTTTTTAATCCAGTCTACTAATCTATGACGTTTGATTGAGCTTAAGCAATTTGCATTCAGGCTTAATGTGTATGGGTGGTACTTTGGTCCTGTCATTTTAGCAATGGATTGTTCATTGACTTAGTCTTCTGTTATCATTTTACTGGGATGTTCTTCACATTTGCCTTTGGGTTTGGTGGGTGTTACTCCTCTTCTCTGTCAAGAGAACATCTTGAAGTATCATTTGTAGGGCAGGTTTGAAAGAGGCAAATTCTTTTAGCTTTTCTTTACTGTGGAAGAAATTCATCTCATTTTCAAAGACAAAAGAAAGCTTTGCGGGGTATGTTATCCTAGGCCGACAATTTTTTTTGCTTTTAGAATCTTGAATATGTCACTCCATTCTCTTCTTGCATGTAGTTTCCTATGAGAGGTCTCCTGTGAGTTTAATTGGCATTCCTTTATATGTCAGTTGATTTTTTTTCATGTGCATATTTAAGAGCCTTTTCCTTGTGTTCAATTGAAGAGAGCTTGATGATCATGTGTCTTGGTGAAGATCACTTTTGATCAGGCCTGTTGGGAGTTTTGTGTCCCAATTCTTTCTCTAGAATAGGGAAAATTTCCCTTATTATTTCATTAAATATATTTGTAAAACAGCTTCTCTTTCTGCACCTTCTGGGACTCCCATAACTCTTATGTATTAGGCCTCTTAATAGTGGCTTTCAATTCTTGAATACTTTCTTTGGCCTGATCCAGCTCTGCTTTCAGCTTTTTATTTGTTTACCCCTGGAGACAGGAAATATCTTCCAATTCTGAGATCCTTTCTTCTGCCTCCTTCATTCTATTTTGGAGACTCTCCACTGTACTTGTAATTTGCTCTACTGTGTTCTTAATTTCTGATATATATCAGCCTTGATTTGCTTTATTGCTGCTATTGCTTGTGTAAAACACTCCTTAAATTCTTTGAACTCTTGTATGTGCTTCTCATTGAAGATCAGAAGCTTTAAAATGGGTTTTCTGAAATCTGTGTCCCCCATTTGCTCGATGTCTTCTTCAGTTAACTCTGAGGTTGGCAAAGGGTTTTGCTTCTTTGCAGGGGAGTCTTCAGTAATATTTTGGCTTTGTCTCTTCTTTTGCTCTTGGTCATTGTACCTCTGGTTAGCAAAGTCTTCTCCTTGGGGCAGGTTTCTAAGCTGTGTCACCCACAGATGTACAGTTTGATTTTAATTATTGCCATTGGTGCACAACTCTTTGCTTGCAGCCGGTTGTGCCACTCCCTCCAGCAAGTTCCAGGTCTGGGTTCTTATATCAGATTTCCACAAAGAACTCTGTAGCCCCAGCTCTTGGATCACCACTCTCCACCTCCTGTGATACCGTGCTGAGGCTGCACTGTTGTCTCTGCAACCTTTCTCCCTCTTCTGGTTGGAGTGGGTTCCACGATTAAAGAGACACCAGGTGTACTATCTAGTTAGGTTGTTGGTGGCGCTGATCTTGTCGGAACTTGTTGGATGTTAGGTCTGGGTGCCACACGGACCTGTTTTGACCGGTACGATGCCACAGTCCGTATTATTTTTCCCTTGGGACTAGTGCAATCCCCGGAACTCAGTGAGTTCTCTCCCAGCTCAGCACATGGTGCAGTTCACCGTTGTCCCCTTCAATCTTAAAGGTTTTGCAACAGTGTACAAAATGGCACCTGACGTACCACTACTAGTGTTCTTGATCTGCTGGCCATCAGGTCTGAGGGCTACCCATACCTGTCTTGGGTGGAACCTACAGAATGCCACGTTGATGCAATTCACTGAGTCAGAATTGAGTTCATTCCCAGCTCTGCATATGCTCAGTCCTTTACCTTGCCTTTGCCTCCTTAATCAAAATGGCACCCAATTCAGCTCTTGGGGGCTGACTGTGCTGTGGAGTCCACCCTGTTCTCGCACTGTCTGTCTGTGACCTGCTGCTCTGTCTCTGCTTCTGGTTAAATCAAACAGACCTGCAGGACGGACAGTTCTTTGTCTGGGTTCACCTCCCAAGCTCCCAATGAAAGTCCCTCCCACCTGGTTGCTGGTTGGAGTTTCAGTTGCTGGTGGAGTTCAGATCACCATTAGCTGAATGCCAGTGGAGTATCAGTCACTGCAACACCACACCGTTGTTTTTGCTACTTTCCTGTGTCTGTCAGTCTCCATGTACCCTTCTGCTGTTGTTCTGTCTTCTCCTATTTCCTGGAATGTGTTCTCTCTGCTTCATCCTGATTAAATATTTCTCTGTCCGTTTAAATGTGTCCTTACCCTATACCGCCATCTTGATTCTCTCCAACATCTTGTGTTCATTGTTGTGCCATGTTTTCAACTGAAGTCTTGCAATTTATTAAATATTGCCAACAGTACCTTTTTTTCAGGTACTAAATACTTTCTTTAAAGATTTAGTTATTTGAAAGGCCAATTTACAGAGAAGGAAAAGAGAGACACCATCTTTCTGCTGGTTCATTGCCTAAATAAGAGATTTTTCTGGGTCTCCCATTTTAGTGCCAGGGACTCAAGCACTTGGGCCATCTTCCATAGCTTTCCCAGGCACTTAGCAGGGAGCTAGCTCAGTACTGAAGGAGTCGTGATATGAACCAGCACCCCCAGGGGATGCCAGTGTTACAAGCAGCAGCTTCACACATGCACCACCATGTCAGCCCCACATCAAGCAGTTCCTATTGCTAGCAGACAGCAGGAACATGTCATTGAGCAGGAATACAACACACTGCCTGAGGCTCTTAGGTTTCAAGGTAACACTGTGTTCGATCACATCTCCTGTGTCTCCTGGACAGCCACACACCAGAGTTCCTTTCCTGAGTGCCTCTCGCTGGTCTATTTGTTACACATTTTTGCCTCATTTGATGGTCATAAGTTTCTTCAATACCACATGTTCCATTTTCTTCTATATCTATAGCAAACATGCCAGACATGGCATGAAATATGTTTTTTTTTCTTGTCTTCTAGAGAGTTGGGGTACCTACGGCTTGTTCTGGTCTTAAGCAGTTTCCCCACTAACATCACTGTCACACACTAACATGCACAGGCATCCACCCAGACACATCCAGAGAAAGACACACACAGACACCCATGCATACACAGACATCCAGAGAAAGACACACAGACACCCATGCACACACAGACATCCAGAGAAAGACACACAGACACCCATGCATACAAAGACATTCAGAGAAAGACACACACAGACACCCATGCATACACAGACATCCAGAGAAAGACACACAGACACCCATGCACACACAGACATCCAGAGAAAGACACACAAACACCCATGCATACACAGACATCCAGAGAAAGACACACACAGACACCCATGCATACACAGACATCCAGAGAAAGACACACAGACACCCATGCATACAAAGACATTCAGAGAAAGACACACAGACACCCATGCATACACAGACATCCAGAGAAAGACACACAGACACCCATGCATACACAGACATCCAGAGAAAGACACACAGACACCCATGCACACACAGACATCCAGAGAAAGACACGTGCATACACACATATACTCATCAGACACACACAGACACACACTTACATGCACTCAAATGCACAAACACACACATACAGACACAGGGACACACAATAAACCTAAACACACAGGATATGCATATATCCACATAGACACAGAGATGCCCATGCACATAAACACACACACACACAGACACACAGAGGCATATACTCACACCTAACAAGGTCGTGTCTTCTGTCTCCCTCTATTCCTTCCCTGGGTAACCTCTGCTTGGTCTGTGAGTCATAAGTAAGACATTTGGTCTTGAAAAGTTATGAGTTCTCTTTTGTTTTTTTTGTTTAAACGCGTCTTAACTCACAAGTTCCATTTTTCCTGGTTGACTTTAGCATCCGTGTCTGGACTGTTGCCCATTGGCGCCAACCACATAGACAGCAGCTTACAGGTTTTTCTCTTCCTTGATTTCCTCCCAACATCATCATCTACGGAGAAGGACAAACAGCAAGGGCTCACATGGTGAGTGGCAAAGTGTGTCACCACCTGCACACGCTGCTCTGTTCTGTTTCCTTACAGACAGTACACCGTGCGCTACCGAGAAAAGGGCGAGTCTGCCAGGTGGGACTACAAACAGGTCGCCAACAGGCGTGCCTTAGTGGAGAACCTGATTCCAGACACCGTGTATGAGTTTGCAGTCCGGATCTCCCAAGGGGAGAGAGATGGCAGGTGGAGCACGTCTGTCTTCCAGAGAACACCGGAATCTGGTCTGTGTCCGATCTCCTTGCATCTTCACCTTGTAAATGACCTCTGTAGTGAGAGAAGCTGACAGTGGCTCAGGCTGCTTTTAAAACCATCTCGTTTACCCTAAGCCTTGGCCACATTTATATTTATAAATGCAGAGAAGGGGAAAGATTGGCCCTTTGACTCCACCTTTCAGCCTCCCCTAGCCTCTCTCACCAGCTTGTGGCTCTGGCACGTGTCCACGTGTGTGTATGCCACGCTCCTGGGTGACACAGGGCTGCTGTGGAAAGACACACTCCTCTTCCCTCAGCCTCAGGGGTATTTTTAGGCCTGGGAAGGAATTTGTTCCACATGCAGGATTACTTACCCTTGTTTCTTTTGGGTTGCATCTTCAGTTGTTTTATGAGAAGTTGCAACTGGGTTTTAATCTGCTTTGATTATTTCAGTATTTAGTTGTGCAGGAAATTCTGAATTCCTAACAACATTTACCTAGACGCAGCTGAATTCACATGGGTCGGGCCGCACGATAGAAGCCCTGTTGTACTCAGAGAGCCGTGTAGTGTTTCCTTGGATATGCAATAAACGCGAGCACAGTAGCTTGCCAATTTAAAAAGAAAAAGCATGCCTGCAGGTCCCATGCATTTACTTTTGGGATCTCCAGTAGAGCACTTCACACTGCTTGCTTCCCTGTTGCATTGTAGCTCCTACCACAGCTCCTGAAAACTTACACGTCTGGCCAGTGAGTGGCAAGCCGACCGTGGTCACCGCCTCCTGGGATGCGCTGCCCGAGACGGAGGGGAAAGTGAAAGGTAGGAGTCTCACTGCTCAGACTGTCAGATGCACTGACTGATGAACTGTGCCTCCGCTCATGGTCTCGTGATGAAAAACCGTATCAGGGAGCAACCTGTGTATAACACAAGCGACCAGGGGAAGCCCTGCAGAGCTTTCATTGGCTAACACAGGTCGTCTGCAAGGCAATTGCCCTTCTTGCCTTTCGTGTTGCTTTCAGGAAGGGTGTGACATCACACACCTCAGCATCCCTTGTCCTCAGCATCCCTTGTCCTCAGCATCCCTTGTCCTCAGCATCCAGGTAGCACCTTTGTCCTCAAGCCAGGAGTCACTCCTTGGGGCCTGAAGGATTGAATCCCACGTGGGGGAGTTGGCAGGAACTCCAGGAAACCCTAACTACCTTTAATGGGACCCTAAAAATAGATTTATTTCATATTTGTCCATCTTCATCAGTGTGGAGGAAAGCATAACATGAAAACAGAAAAAATACTATCGGTTTAGAAGATTGCAAAACAGAATAAAATAGTCACAATGAGTGGTATTTAAAAGGAGTCTGTTGAGAATATTAACATGCGCGTAAATTGTTTCTCAATATTGTAAAAGCAACTTAAGGACCATGCAGAAGTCTGCTTGGAGACTTTGTAGAGTCCCAGTGAGATTTTTCTTGGCATCACCTACAGCAGCGAACCCCAAGGGTAGGAAGGAATAGGGCTTATACTTAGGAAAGAAGTATTTTTTATTACTACTAGATTTGGGGAGACAAATTTAGTCTATTATGTCCAGAAACTACAAAAAAGTTATTGTAAAGAAATCCAGAAAGTTACCACTGATCTCTTTTGAGAAACTCTCAACTGGAAATATTGAGTAATTTGTTTTGTATTCAGCTGTAAGTTATCTTTTGTGCAGGATGTCTTTTCACGGAGCAACAGAAGGTCAGCAAGATGGATGATTGTGTAATTGTAGTTTCTGTACTTAAGTCTCACATTCCAGTGTTTTGAGAATAGATTATACCATTCTTCTTGCTTCATTTTTTTCTGCTGGAATAGCTGAGCAACCAATGATGGGGATACATATTTAGTTGGCCCTTGACCTCATGTTTTAATGATGAATCAAACACGGTTCCTTCTGTGTTACGTGATGCTGTGAGGCTGAACATATCTCTGCAAAAGACACAAAGATGTTTTTGGCGGACTGACGATTTTTACAGTTTTCAAAAAGTCAGTTACTGGTCCTCAGGTGAATTAATCATGAAGCTACTTGTTCCCTGTCCCCCATTCTGCGTCTTAGTTGATATTTACAGCTCTTTGATGACAGACGGTCCCTGGTTGTGAGTTAAATAGTTCTAGAAAAAGAATCTTTGTCCGTGGGTCTTTGCATTTGGCAGGGCTCATGTTTCTACCCTCCAGCTTAGATGATTATCATAAGGTATGGTAGGAGTTGAAATTCATGATTACATTGGGGTCTTTTCTCCATGAAAGATAAGCAGAGAATACACTTTGAAACAGCATTCTTTCCAGTGAATTGAATCCAAAAGAAAAACTGGCATTACACAATTTTATGCACAGTGAATCCTCTTAATTTTTACTTTGATTACCACAAATGACCAGTTTATTTTCAGTGAGGAAAAAATGTCATGTATTATTTTTTCTTTCCAGAAAAATGCTGAACAGTCATTTTTGGTTGAAAGATTTTGAAAGAAGTATTTTCATGATTAGAGCTCGTAGGAAAGAGACAGTTTCAATATTCTTGACAACTGCTGGATTTTTTTTTTTCTGTCCACATTATTTTTCTTAGTATTCACTCCTACTGATTGACAAGCTTTATAAATCTTGAATTCTTTGAGAGGAAAATGGGCCTGCTAGGTTTTGGTTGAAGGTTAGACTTAAGCTATGAAGTATGGCTTCTTATATTACTTTATTTCTGTGTAAGCGTAGAGATGATTTCGTTTCTTGGATGACTTTGCCATGATTTTAAAAGTCCCAGGGCCTTGATGAGACAACCTACTAAAGTTAGAATCATGTGGTATCCTACAAAAATCTGTGCTTAGCAACTTTTCTTCAGCGTTTGAAATATTGCCCAATAACCTCTATCAGCATATATCGAGGGCCAACTTTTAGGTTTCCCAAAATAGAGAAATTATACTCAGAGTAAGGAATTTTTCTGGCTAATAAAAATAACTCAGCTTGGGCCTGGAGGGATGGCTTAGTGGTGGAATGCTCAACTTGCAAGTGCTGGGATCCCATTTGGACACCAGTTCATGTCCTGGTGCTCTACTTCCATCCAGCTCCTGCTTACAGCCTGGGAAAACCTAGAGGATGGTGCAAAGCTGTGGGACCCTGCACCCACGTGGGAGACCTGGAAGAAGCTCCTGGCTCCCGGCCTTGGATTGTCTCAGCTCCAACCATCATGGTCATTTGGGAAGTGAACCAACAGATGGAGATTCTTTTCTCTCTGTCTTTTCTTCTCTCCATAAACTGATCTGCCTTTCCAATAGAAGTAGACAAATGTTAAAAAAAAAAAAGAAAAGAAAAAAAGCTTAAGAGGATACTAAAAATCTTGAAGATGTTCAGAAGCTGTTCAGAATGTATCTCTAGCTGCTGGTGCTTCCTTTTGCTAATTTCTTGGTCCAGGACAGGTGAACTCCATCACATGTAAAGAAATACAATGGAAACACACTCCTACGTGGTGGGAGTGTTTTCTGGGAACTGTGTGCAAACTGGCTTCCTGGGCTGCAGAGGGAAATCTTCCTGTCCAGTTGCCAGCTGAGGACATGGTCCCGTGTGCTGGTCCCATGGCTGAGAAGGAGTCCACCTCCTGCTGTGTCTGCCGGGTGCTGACCTGGCATGAAGGACTAGGGCCCTGATGAGTCTCGCACATTCTAGCTCATGCTGTCCATTCTCTTTTCCCTCCCAACCGTCTCCCCACCATTTCAGAATACATCCTTTCCTACGCCCCGGCTCTCAAGCCCTTCGGAGCTAAGTCCCTCATCTATCCCGGGGACACCACTTCTGCCCTGGTGGATGGCCTGCAGCCTGGGGAACGCTACCTGTTCAAAGTCCGGGCGGCCAACAGAAGAGGCCCTGGGCCTTATTCCAAAGCTTTCGTTGTGGCCATGCCAACAGGTAAGTGACATGCGTTCCTGTGTCTCTTCATTCCTGCATCTAGCTCTGTGTCACTCTTGAACCATGCTCTTGTATTCCTAGTGCTTGTCTAATGATATGGCGGGGAGGGAGGGAGGGAGAATAGCTGAGCTTGCATACTGATGTGTAAAATAGGTTTGTAACCCCATTACAAGTAGTCTGTCTAAAGAAATAAAATGTTATGGATTGCTGATGACATTAATAAGTATTACAACATTATCAGTGTTTCAATTTTATGATTAGTCATACATCATTGTTTCATTTGGAACTTATGGTGACCCCGGAAGGACATCTGTAACATGTAAAGTGACATTTTTATTGTTAGTTTTCCCTCCTTAATTTCTATAATGCATTTAAGTTTCAGTTTGCATTCTGTTTCTTAAAAATGTCACTATGTATTTGAGAAGCAAAGAGGGGATGAGAAAGGCCTCATGTCAGTGGGTTTACTCATTCGAGGCCAGTAGCAGACATTGTCTGACGGCTCCCCACTGGGGGTGGCAGGAACCCCATTACTTGAGCCGTCACCTCTGCCTCCCACCGTTGGCTTTAGTAGGAAGCCAAAATCAGGACCCAGAGTTGGGTGTCAAACTCCCAGCGTGGGACATGTGGGTCTTAACTGACATCGTAGCTGCAGCCTATGTGCCAGATCCTTGTTCTGTCATTTTTGAGAATTGTGGCTGTGTGCTTGTCTGATGAGCATCAAACCCAGCAAGCACATAGAGCCCCGGGGTGGAGCAGGTATCTGTGGGCTGCTGCTTTCCCCTGCTTCTCTACAGCCAGGTCCAGCGTGGGTGGTTCTCTCCTCCCTCAGAGGCCCAGGGCTGCACAATTCTGCAGTGGGAAGCTTTCCTTGAAAGTAACTCTGAGGCAGATGAGGTTCGCTGCCTCCGGGTCCCTCATTCCCTTGCCACATGATGCCCCTGGTATGCGCTCCTTGTCTGGGTCCACCTGCAGCAAGGTGAGCTGTGGTTTTGCTCAGTAGAAGGCGCTGATGTCTCCCAGAAGCTTTTTTTCTTAGTTTTAAACCTTACTTTGGAATTACAAATGTCTTCATTATTAATGTAATTTTAAGTATGAAGGAAGAAAGAAGTCCCACAATGCTTTGTAACAAAAATTACAGATGTGTTGCTGGTCCCGGTCAGTTGCTGGCTGCACTCCTGAGCTCCCATCACTTTTGAATACAAGTCATTGAGCGTTTTGCACCAGATGCATATATATTTTTGTAGGTCCACGATGCATTTGTAGTAATACTGATATTGTATGTTTCATGAAATGAAACCTATGTAAGATTTTCACATTTCCAAAGTCAGTGAACCCCAGTTGTCTCTCGATATCCCTGGGGGATGGGTCCTAAGACCCCTTGAGAATACAAACTTTGTGATTCTCCCACATCAGCAATGCAGACCCACCTGCACATCCCGCCCTCTGTAGAACACGTGTGGCACCTGATACGAAGTGAACACTGTGTCAGCGGTTCCCAGGCTATGCAGGGAGCAAGTCACTGTGTGTCCAGTATAGACATGGTTCTCCCACAGATTTTCTCTCCACAGTCAGTTGGATCCGTGGGTGCAGAGCCTCCCTGCCCTGCATGCCCAGAGTCAAGGTGGGGGAGGGTGGTGACTGCTCCTGACATTGCTCCCTTTCAGAATTCCTGCAGATGACCAGCCGCGAGGTAACCCCATCCAGGTATGTGCTTGGCCAGCTTGTGCTTGCCAAGCACACCAGAGCTTCCAAAAACAAAGGGAGGTCTGCTAGAAGCCCCATCAGCTACAGTCGCTGACCGGCAACACCTGCACCCCACTGTCCTGGATGTTCTGTGTTTACGCCCAGCTTTTGCATTTCTTTGATGGCCAACTCTGCAATCTGTTGCAGCTGGTGTCCGCGAGAAGGATGCCCTACAGAGCACAGCTGAAAACTGGAAGCCTGAAAGCCCCCAGCCTCCCTCCTCTCCACCCCAGTCCCCAGCCTCCTCAGGGCACAGCAATGCCAAGGACCTGCTTCTGGACTTGAAGAACAAAATACTGGCTAATGGGGGGCTGCCCAGAAAGCCCCTGCTCCGCCCCAAGAAGATCCAAGAGCCGGACCCTCAGTCAACAGAAGTCACCCAGGAGGAGGAGGAGCTGGATTCACTAGAGAACCCCCGGGCATCACAAGACCAGAGGCAACCTTTGAGGCCAGCAATTAGACCAGGCCCCTCGGTCCTGGCTCCTGGCAGGACTCCAGCTAGGGCCAGAGTGCCGCTGCCACCCCGACAGGAAGCTGTGGACAGGCGGGGCTCGGCACTGGCCGCCCACCCTGGCCGGGGTGCCCCTCAGCGCCCTACAGCAGGGCCCATAGCCAACTCTGCCAACAATGACGCAGTGGACTCGGATGAGGATGAGGACCCCAAAGTCATCTCCTCCCAGCAGCTGCCTCCCAAGAGCCAGGCCCCAGCCCCCGGACGCCAATCCACTGCCAACGTACCCCACCAGGGTATGAAACCGGCTTTGCCAGCACGCAGGGTGCCCCACCCAGTGGCTGTGGAGGAAGAGACGAGGCCTGCCTCAAGACCTGCCCTACCTCATAGGGGTGTGCCCCTGCAATCCACTGCACCTTCCCCAGTCTCTACACCTTTGCCCTCCAGGATCCAGCTGTCTAGGGGTGGGGGCGCTCCTGATGATGACAACAGCAGGAGGCAGGACCCCACCCTGCGGACCCGGCCAGCCTCTGGACACCTCACTTTGCTCCGAAATAGGCCCTTTACTGCCCACGGCAGGTTTCCCAACCGACTGGGCAATGGCCGAGGACTGCGGCTGCAGCCCTCCCGTGCCCCTCCCCAAGCCACCACTGCCTCCACAGAGCATCCCAGAGTTCAGCCACAGCTAGCCTTGGCTGGCTCAGAAGGGGAGGATGAGAAACCACTCCCTGCCACTGTGGTCCATGACCATGGGTCTTCCTCCTCCAGGCAGCCAGCCCCTCGGGGCTGGGACCCCCTAAGGAGAGGCCCCCAGAGAGGGACCAGCCCTTACCACAAAGAGGCCATTCCAGAGAGTCCCAAATCAGCTGGGGCAGTGGATCCTTCTAGGGAGAAGTCCGCCGTCCTGACCCACAAGACACAGGAGGCTGAGCAAAGCACAGGTGCAGAGGAGGCCAATTCTCCCAAGGCACGGCCTGGCTCTGCCAGCCACCAGCTGCCTCCTGCCCAGCCACAGCCTGACCACGAGGACAACAGAGCCCAGGCTGGTCGGCCTGACGACGGAGCCCAGCGTGCACGTGCGGGCTCCTTCCTGAGGCCTGGCTGGGCCGGCAGCCCCCAGTCCCAACCCCGACTGCTGGTTCCCAGCAGGTCAGGGGTCCAGGCTGCTCCAGGGAAGAAGGAGGCGCCTTCCAAGAGGCCCCTACCGTCCAAGTCTCAGCAGTCCGTGTCAGCGGAAGAGGAAGAGGAGGAAGAGGAAGGGGAGGATGTGGAGTACCTAAAAGGGGGAAAGGAAGGCCCTCTGCCTCCCTCCATTTCTAAGTGGCCCTCTGCTCCTGGCACCAGGGCCAGCAAGTACGCCAAGGACAAGTCTATGCCTGTAGGCGCCCCCAGAACACCCCAGCCCTCTCACAGCCCTGCGACCAGCGCCCCGTCCTGGCCGAGGCAGCCCACACATGCGCCACCAAGCTTCTCCTCCACCACGCCCATGCTCTCGCTGCGCCAGCGGATGCAGCGCAGGTTCCGCACGCCGCTCTCCCGCCAGCCGCCCAGAACCCCGCATGCACAAGGTAAGGTGGTTTCAAACCCAGCTCTTGGCCCCTTGCGCCCACTGAAGATGCTCAATGACAGCTGTCACCGAGAGATCGCTGTTTGCACCTCGGCTGTGCTAACACCTTTGCGCAGATAACTGTGTCCTGGGGTTTACCAGGCCACTCACGGACGCCGTTGGAAGCCGTGGCTCAGGGCTCCAAGTGGCCAACTCCGGGGCTGAGCTGCAGGCCCAGGGCAGACCCTGGCCTCCCGGTTCTCTGTCGTTCTGCCTCTGGGAATTGCTCGCTGTGGCCTAATCAGCAGTGACTGCAAGCCCAGTCGGCTCCTCTTACTGTCATCTCCCGCCTACACAACTCTCAGCCATGTGCACCCTGGGACAGACCCCAAGGTCTTGAAAACAGACTTTACAGACATCAGGAGCAGTGAGGGTCGGCCAGGACCTCCTGACCGTGTTGGCAAAGGGCATCCATCACATGGAGGAGTTGCAGGGCCCATGCACCTATGTGTCCATGACAAAGGTTGCAACGCAGGTGGCCATGAGCTGGAAACCACGTGGAGTCCAGGGCAGACACCAAAGTATTTGCTATAAATTTGCATTCAGCAAGCCTTGACCTCTGCTTGCATGTAACCAGGCCTTGATAGAACCTTCATGAACAAGTATATTGATGTTGGTTAATCTGCACCATGCATTATTTTAGGACAGTCTAGACACAACACAGTGCCCCATGCCAAGATCAACTTTCTATGGAGGCTGGCTGTTTTAAAGTAAGTCTAAAACCCCAGAAATTGAGGTGAAACTCAACATTCTAGTATGTAGTGGAAACTCAATAAATGTCCAATGGGTAGTTCTCTTTTTGTTTTTGTTTTTTTTTAAGATTGGTTTATTTTATTGGAAAGTATAGAGAGAGAAGTAAAGAGAATCTTCTATCCATTGGCTTACTTCCCCAAAGGCTTCAATGGTCAGAGTTTGGATCAGTCTGAAGCTTGAAGCCAGGAGCTCCCTGTATGTCTCCCAAGTGTGTGGCAGGGGCCCATATGGCGCATGCTGCTTTCCCAGGCCACAAATGGGGAGCAGGATTAGAAGTGGAGCAAGAATCTGGGACTTGAACCTGGGGCTCCTATGGGATGCCAGTACCGAAGGCAGAGGTTTAGCATGCATTGCCACCGTGCCAGTTCCGCAGGTATTTATTGAATGAAGGAGCTCAAGACGCAAGTCCCTGATCTGAAAACCACAGTCAGAAAGCCGGAGTGTTCTCCACATAGGCCAGGATTGAAAGGGGGCGTGTAGCTGTGGCCTCGCTTAGACCAGGTGTGCTGGGTAAGGGTATGAGGCAGAGACAGACAACAGGGCAGCAGCCACCCCTTCTGCCTCCACTTGGCAGAGGCTTGCTGAGCCCGGTAGGCTCTGAGCTCCTACACATGGCCACAGGGGAGTCTCAGGCCTGAGTCAGCTGCAGTCCATTGTGGGGCTTAGCACCATACACTCTATTGGGAGTGATGAGTCACAGGTTGCTGTGAATACAGAACTTACTATGTTTTTGTTTTTTCCTGGTTCACACCATGCAGGTTACAATGGCAGACCAAATGTGGACCTGAAAGAACTGCCCGGTAGTAATGGAAAACCCAACGGACAGAGAATTATCAATGGCCCTCAAGGAACAAAGTGGGTAGGGTCAACTTCTTCCACACCCCAGTTTTCCTGCTCTTGGGAAAAGAAAGTGTGCACAAACGTGCCAATAAATAAGTGCTCATCCCTGCTCTTTCCTTTCCCCTTCTGGTTGTCTTCCTCTTCCCTTCCTTCTCCTCCATCTTCCCCATCCTCTTCCTCTTTGCCTCTTGCTGCTCCAGTTGATACACTCAGTGTGGAAGCTGTGCACAGCTGCTCTGTGCTTGGTAATGGTGTTTCCTGGAACGTGGGCATGTGTTTCCATAACTAATAAAGGGACACAGCCGCTCCTCCTGTGTTTGCTGGTGAAGAGGGAAAAATAAGCCTCTGGTCCACCCGTAGCAACCCTCAGGGATCTGATGACTGGCATTGCCAATGAACCTGTGTCCCGCGTCCTCCTATCTTTGCCTTTCATTTTTGTCCAGCCTCTGGTGAAGTTGACATGTCTGTTCCGTGATTGTCCCAGATCCTTTGTAAAAAGAAGCAGGTAAACAGGCAAAAGCCCTGAATCCTGCCAGCAGCTTTCATCACATCACGCTTTGGATCTTCCAGCAATTGTTTGACTAACATGAGCTGTTACCACTTTATGTATTTCTGAAGTAAAGTATGCTGGTGATTAAGATCAATACCGGGGCAATAGAATACTTTGCAGTGGTCTTTAAAATCCTTGTTGAGGAGTGGGCATTCAGCCCTGCTATGGAGAAGCCTGCATCCCACAGTGGTCCTTGGGTTTGCTGTCTGGTTCTGGTCCCTGACTCCAGCCGCCCACTGATGCAGAATCCCGCAGGCAGTGGTGGGGGCTCAAGTAATTGGGTTTCTGCCCTCCATGGGAGATGTGGGTTGAGTTCCCAGTTCCCAACCTTAGCCCTGCCTAGTCGTGGCTGTTGAATGCACCTGGGAAGTGACCCAGCAGGTGAGAGATGAGAGTTTGTCTCTTTTCTCTCCGTCTCTCTCTCTCCATATATATGCTTATTTCATTGAGCATAATGGTCTCGAGTTGGGACCATTTTGTTGCAAATGGTAGAATTTCATTCCTTTTCATGGCTGAGTAGTATTTCATAGCATTGTGTTTTAATTACTGAAACAGCATTCAACACAATGGCCCACTTGAGGGAAGTACAGGCCTGGGCCAGGCAGTGATTTGCATAGCTGAAAACTTGCCAGGTGGTGCTGTGGTTGATGGTCCTAGACAATGATTTGAAAACCACTCATATCAAGCATTTTAAGAACCACCAGTGCCCTTCCTCGTTTATGGAGATAATCGCTCCTCAAATTCTGTACTTCCTTGTGCATTATATTGGGCAGCTTTATCACAAGCATTTTGTTATAACAACTTTGATTTTTAACATTCAAAGATGGTCTTAGATGTCTAATGCCCTAATAATGCGTGTTCATAGCAAGAAGTTTAAACTATTCAGAAATGTATGAAAAAGAGTTGCTCACACCCCAGAGCTCTTCTCAAAGTCTGTACCTTTAGCAGTTCAGCATTTGTTTCTGTTTCAAGATTGCATAGACAAGTGAATATATTTTCATTTTGGCTAAATAACAAGTCCTGTGGCCTGTGTTATGTTGGGAGAGGTGAGCACAGGTGGAGTTCTTGTGTCCCTGTGGTTGGCCACATGGAGTTCACCGTGACTGGGCCTGAGTCACTTCCTCTCCTGACAGACACTCGGCCTGTTCTCCCCTTCAGTCACAGTATGCTCCACGGTAAAAACGTGTTGATCACCTTATGTCTGTTTCAGAAACTTGAAAAGCATTGCACATTACATAGGTAAGCCATTGTAATATGAAACATAACTATGCATATTTCTGTCTCTAGGCCTTATGGATATTCTAAGTATGGATGCACATGACCCTGTAACTTGTCCAGGAGGTGTCTGCATATATCTGTGTCCTTGGTCAAGTGTGAAAGCCTGGCATGCCCACTCTGTTCTTTACCCTGTGTCCTGGGTTTAGGTTGTGGACCTTGACCGTGGGTTAGTGTTGAATGCAGAAGGAAGACACCTCCAAGATTCCCAAGGGAATCCCCTGCGGGTCAAACTGGGAGGAGACGGTCGAACCATTGTGGGTAAGTGAGCTGCTGTGGATGGCACAGAAGTGCCCTCCATCGGCTGCAGCAAACAAACCCCATCTTCCTCCTCTGCTCTTTAATGTTGCCAAGAGAGGAGGAGGGTACGAGCTTCTTCCTCGTCTTCTCTGCAGAGCGTGACCCTGGCTTCACTCTTGGGATGGAACCGTTCAGGGCAGAGGTTCCGATTGGAAGCTCAGAGCAATTGCTTTTTAATGATTGCAAACAATTGTGGCTTGTGATGTGAATCATGACAGGAAAAAGGATTCAGTGTTGATACACCAGCTTTGTTGGACTGAGGAAGTCCTCATCTACCTGTCTGTCCGACCATCTATCATCTACCTGTCTCTGTCCATCATTTATCTCCCACTCATCTACCTCACTGGCTGTGTGTCTGCTGTCTATTTTTCCCTAGAAGCCAGAGCTGAATCATCGCACCAAAGCTCCTCAGGCCCCGGAAGCTTCAAATCTGTACTGTCTGGCCCTTTATGGGCAAAGTTGCCACCCCTTGTCTTCAGAACCTCTGGCTGGGATCAAGGGGAGGTCCTCTTTTCTCCTTCGGAGGAAGACTGAGGAATAGAACAGAATTGCCCCTTGATGGAGGTCGTCTTGGGATAAAGGGCACCCTTACGCAGTACATGCGTGTGGGTGAGGGGTGGCACGGAGCATGGGGCAGTTAATGGTGTGTTTGTATGCCTGATGCTAAGTGCTGGCTGGGCAGCATACTGAGCCGAGAAGTACTTGCACAGCTGTGGACACTGCTCTCCAGTGTCCCTGGTTTTCATCATTCCTTTGCCTTTTCTAAGCCCCGAAGGGACACTTGCTGCTGGTTCTGCCTCTCCTCTGGACCCTCCCACCACTGGTTCAATGGCACTGGCCGCTTTCATTTCAGATCTTGGTGGGACGCCTGTGGTGAGCCCCGACGGCCTTCCTCTGTTTGGACAGGGACGACATGGCAAGCCACTGGCCAGCGCCCAGGAGAAGCCCATTTTGAGTCTTGGAGGGAAACCTCTAGTGGGCTTGGAAGTCATCAGAACAACCACCCTTCCCCCCACCACAATGTTGCCCCCAACCACAACTACCACCCCTCTGCCCACCACCATCCCACAGCCAATGACCACCACCACTACTACCCGCCGCCCTACCACCACCACCACCACCACTCGCCGCCCCACCACCACCACCACTCGCCGGACCACCACCACCCGCCGCCCAACTACCACCACCACTCGCCGCCCAACCACCACCAGGCGCCCAAAGACTACCACCAGGCGTCTGAAGACCACCACTATACACCCGATGACCATGATCCGAACCACAAGGCGGACCACTACCACCACCACCACCACCACCACCACCACCACCCCTGAACCCACCACCTCAGCCCCCACCTGTCCCCCTGGCACCCTGGAACAGCACGATGATGAAGGCAACTTGATAATAGGTTCAAATGGGATCCCGGAATGCTACCCTGAAGAAGGTAACTTGGTTTATCTCTATGGTAACCTGGTAATTAGCATCCCATCGCACGGGGCATGTTACAAAGCCTGCAGGGGCAGGAGATGGAGAGCTGGTGCGGTCAGACAGCTTTCTGGGTCTCACAGGTTTTGCACATTCAGCAGATAAAGAGCACTGCAGGGAGCATATGGATGGGAAAAGGTTATTTATTATTTGTTTGCAATCTGGCTTTAACAGTGTATCTTACATTTTATCTGGTAACTCTCTCACAACTGAAGTAAAAAAAATGTGGTCAGAGCTCGTGATATAATTAACTAGTATTTCCCAAAGTGGGTTCTATAGGATGTCAGTCAAATAGCAGTTGTCAAATACTTTGAAAGTTTCTGTGATTAATCATGTGATTTAAACAAGGCCCGAGACGTTTCTTACTGGGGAGCTGTTGAGATCATTGCACCGTCTTGTGGATGTCCAGGAAGTGCACTTGGCCAGGCCGGTCTGCTGCCTGTGCCTTTTGGATCAGCCCTCTTGTTGGAAAATACTAATGTGGGGAGAGGCTTTTCCGAGTGTGGACTCTGGCCGACTACAGATGGCAGCATCGTTTGCCCTGCTCTGTGACAGTGGATCTGGGCTCCGCTCCCACCCCGGGCAGTGTCTGGGAAGGTAAAGGGAGCTGGAAAGATCCTGTGTGGGTCACAGTGAGCCCAGCGTGTGGCCATCTTTGCTGATCAGTCCCCGGGGCGAAGCACATGGGACAGCATCACCCTGGATGTGCAGCAGCCTGGGAAGACAGAGTCCTCTGCTGGAATGAGCCCGAGCGACCGTGGTAGTGCTTCCATGGTTCCAGCACACACAGAGTGAAGAACCTTGGGTTTAGGACCCGGATGCAGGCCTGGAATGCCTCCCCAGCGCCATCCACTCTGCCAAACGTCACCCTCAATACACTCTTCCCAATACGCCGAGAACTTCGATACGCTCTCCCAAAGGAGAGTTAGTCTTTTCATGGAAAAGTTCCAAATAGGAACAATGGATGTGCCTAAAATATACAAACCAAAGAGCAAGAAAGCATATGCAGAGATGCAAATGATGAGTCCCACCCTGCTGGGCCTGGTGAGTACCAGGGCAACCCTTGAATATTGCATTTCTTTCCTTGAATTCTTTCTTATGCATGCATTAATGGGTTTACTCTGTAAAGCTACAATATGATGAAAATGTATTACCTGGTAAGTAGGTGTAAGCCATTTTGGATTTGGTTTTAATTCCTGTTGTTATTCTGCATTTTATTTTTCTTGCTTTCATTTAGCATTATATTACACAGTGTTTAGTTTTCCAGCATTAATACTTCAAACTTTCTTGCCCATGAAAGTCAGCATTTTTTGGCATTTCCTCTTCCTTGCACATTATGATACATGTATGCATTCTTTGTACTTCACTCATGTCCATTTTTCTGGTTCCTTGGTCCAAGGCAAACAAGAGCTTTTGCATGTAGGCAACACTTTGACCCTAAGTACACGGCCCTGAGTGTTTCATAGTGCAGTGAGGACTCTGCTTAGGATAGCCACATTCTTATGTCAGAGTGTCTGGGTTTGATTCCTGGATCCACTCAATTCCAAATTCCTGCTAATGGGCATCCTAAGAGGTGGCAGGTGATGGCTCAAGTAGTGCCTGTCACTCACTTGCGCCAGAAGCCTAGACTGAATTTCTGGCTACTGGCTGTAGTTCGTTCAGCACTTGTGGAGTCAGCCAGCAGATGGGAGCTCTGTCTTTCTGTCAAATACAAACATTAAAAGCAAAGCAAGCGATCTCCCCATTCAGGGATCTGCGTGCCTTAGTGCCTATCTCCTTTGATTGCATTTGATCTTCTTTCTGTCTCCTTGGTCATCAATTCTCCTTACTTCCTCCTCCCTTGGTTTCTTAGTGTTATCATCTCTTCATCTCTCTAATGCTCTACTGGCCCAACTCTGGCCTTGTCATTCCTTACTATGCCTCTGACACCAGTCTTCATGCACCTGCTTCCCACACACTGATGAATCTGACTGTGGACCAGGGACTTGCCTTGGAGGTCCAGGCTTGGCACCACCTCATCTGTGGCTGGATGCCACACTATGTGACACTGACCAGAGAGGAGTCAGAGGATGGACACGACACAGCTTAGCAGGAACTATGTTCTAAAGAGAGCCTGAGGTTTGAAAATTACACAGACTCCTCTAGAAGGCAGTGAAAGATGACCATGTGCTGCTTTCTGGTTCAACACCTTGCAGGGAAGTTGGCCCTAAGGACACTAGAAGTAGAGAGTTTGAGCCCCTCTCTACTCAGGGGCTTAATGGTCAGTGCGGGGCCTTCCCTCACAGGCTCCTGAGCCAGGCCTCCCCGCTGCGAGCCCCACCTCTCCCCATCTTTCTCTCTGGTGTCTTCCCTTTTATTGTCAGCCCATGGCACAAATCCACAGGGCTCTCTATGCAGACAGCCCTTATTCAGCACTCAGCATCCTGGGCATGGTGCTTTCCAGCAAGGAGCTTGAACACTCATTATTGTGGGGTTGGTGACTTGCAGTTGCCTTAGAGACCAACCAGTGAATGCCCCTCCTTACTAGTGCCCCTTGCACACCCCCAAGCAGCTGGCTGTTCTCCCTGTTTCACTGGAGAAGTTCTAAAACTTTTTATGGTGTTTCCTTTTAAAAATCATCTTTCAATCTCAAAAGTCTTAGCTCCTCTAAAAGGAGATTAAGTCATGCCTCCTTCCTTGCCTTTAAGATGGCAGGTTGGGGACAGGGGATTGGCACAAATATTTTCCATTTACTGATTCACTCCCCAAATAGGGCTGGACAGAGTTGAAGCAAGGAGCCAAGAATTCCATTCAGGTCTCTCACATGGGTGGCAGGAGCCCAAGCATTTGAGCCATCGTCTGTTGCCTCCCAGATGCATTAGCAGCAAGTAGAGAAGCCAGGACTGGAAGCACAGTGCAATGTGGGACACAGCCATTCCTTGCGGGGGCTTGACCCACTGCACAGAACACCCGCTCCCATCTTTCCATTCAAAACTGTGCTTTCTAATAGACCCTAGGAACCATGTCAGTCGTGGCAGCAACTCAAGCACTATTCCTGTGTGCATTCTTGTTAGTGAAGCGGCACTTCCCTGTGGGCATAGTGTACACGATGTATGCTTGTGTCCTGTGTGTTACTGTTAATCCCCCTGCCTTGTGTACATGCTCTCATGCGCATACACTCACAGGCATATTGGCTTTTGCTTGATCTGGCTTCCCCCTAGCCACAGCAGCAGCTTCAGCTTCATCTACAGTTACTCCTGATACCTAACTGTGCACTTTTGATGTCTGTGCAGCACCTTAAGATGCAGGGTTTCTTCGTCTCCTAGATGAGGAGCAAATATTTGTGATCTGTGTTTTTCAGGTTCCGTTTCTATAGTGGATCTGATGAGACTGCAGGAATGTGGAAGTACCAGAGCCCGCCGAGGGTCCTGGAGAACTTTACCCTGAGCTTGTTGCATGTTGCAGAAAGATCTGTGATGGAAAGCTGCCTGTCTACAGCTCACTCTGGAGACCGAACTTGCAAAGGGAATCAGTGACACCGGCTGGAACTGGACCAGCCCTGTGACTTCAGGCTAGCACCAAGTGTCAGGCTGCCGCTGATCCTTTGCTGAGAGTTTTTCTCTTAATACTTTTGAATGGTCCTGTGAGCATTCTGCACGTCTTATTTCAAGGCCCTTTGGATAAACATTTGACGGGGGACTGCCCCACTGTGGCCCATGGCTGGCAGCTGCATCTAGGTGAAGACTTCAGGCTTCTGACTCACGTCAGGTTGATGCACACGGCGTCCACTTCTGTATGGTTCCCAGTGGTTCAAAATGACATCCACAAAGCAGATGAGATATGCTCCCCTTCTCTTGTTCACCTTGGAATGCAAACAAACAAACAAAAAAAAACCCCACTCAGTTTTGACCTAATTAAAAATGATAATGAAGGGAAAGGCAACCAGATTAATGATGAGGAAGAGTAGACTATGTTGCTAAAAGTGAAATCTGGAGTGATTGTCTCCGCTGTGAGGCAGGAGCTGGGGTATCGCAGGGACCTCTGAATGGTGGTCATGCTTTCTCACCATCCCCCACAGTGGGGCTGGGCAGACAACTCCAGGCACCCATTGCCCTCCATGGCTGTGGTTTGCTTGTGTGCCATAGCAGCCGTGACACTTCAGCCCAGCTCAGAAAGACCTGGGGTATGATCAGTGATTTTCTATTAATGCTATCTTAATAGTTGGAACGTGTTAATTCTAAAGGGTGTGAATTCTGAAGGAAACTGATGTACCTCCTGATTCAATTCCCCATCGTCAAACCATGGAATGGCAGTTACAGTAGTGCACAAGGCTACAATAGCTAGATAGGTTAGCACAGCCTCTGAAAGTGAAGGCAGTTTTACGTAGTGTAAAACACACAGCCTCGGTGGTTAGAGGGCTTGGAGTTCAAGTTCTGTCACTTAGAAACTGTGTGACTCCAGCCAGGCCTATTATGGAGCCTCAGAGTCCTCGCCTGAGACGTGGTAGGTAAGCCCAACACCGCTCCAAAGGCTTGAGTTGAAGATGAACTCTGACAGCATTACGCCTACCAGTGCCTGATGCCACTGCGAGATTGCGGGGTGGGGGAGGGCGGAGAAATTCTTCTGAGGTTTTTTGAGTTATGAAATCTTTTGCCTCAAGATTTCATCAGCCATGGTAGGCTGTGCTTCTCACAGCTGCATTTGTATCCTCCAAGCAGCATGATAGTATAGCATTGATCACACCTGTTTAAAGTCTCACCTGTGACAACTACCCAGAGCGATCCATCATGTTTTACGCCCACGGGCTGCTCTTGTCACACACACAGCCACACTGTTCTCTCTAGGAATGTTAATAACAGTTCTTGTTGTTAGGGTTTCCTGGAAACCATGATAGATAGATAAACATAAAATAAAATCACATCTGAAATTCCCGAAGCTGTGAAGCTGTGAAGTATAGTTCCGTAGTCACACCTGACCCAAGCTGGCTGCAAAGAGCAATCTGTTGTTTCTAAACTCTGAGTGCAAGTTAGGTAATGCATGTAATTGGTGAGGCACAGGGAGCTACTCAAGTTAGACTGAGAGAAGCAAGACACCTCAGGCTTCCAGAATATTCCCCAAAGCAAAGTTGAGGGGACAGAGTACAGACAAGTGCATACTGGTCAAGGGATTTTTGTTGCCATCCTCACCACCAGCTACCCACCTTTTCCCACTTTCTGTATGTGGGCCTGCGGCCTGATGGCCAGCGGCCTGATGGCCAGCTCCCAGTCCACAATGCCCAGAGCAAGGTGTGGGATTGTCCCTCTGAGCCCCGGAGGAGAGAACGGCTGTGTTCCCCCTCCGTGTTCTGAGGCACTAGGGTGCACTGGCTTCCCTTTGCTCAGCTCTCACCCTGGGCTCTGAGGTTTCCTCTTAGAGGAAATGCAGGCAGCTGGTACCTCCCGCCTTCCCCCAACAGATGACTTCTCGGGCTTGGACACGGACACGGCTGTTCCCACAGAGGAAGACTACGTGGTATACGATGAAGGTGTGTGCTGGTTCTCAGTCGTTATTCGGACCCTTTGCCCCCCATCAGGGACCCAGCTTTCCTTCCATTGAGAGGGTGATCTTCAGGACTGTGGCCAAGAGAGGGCTAGCCATGGTGGGTGCTTGTACCCCGTTCTTCCTCACCATCCCCTCATGCCCTGAGGAAAAGGGGCATGTTCAAAGTGTGAGTGCGGCTTCTGCCCACTCTCTTCATCCCCACTCACCTTCCCGGGAGGACCACCTGAGACTGCTGCGATGAGGACCTCCCCCCTCCCATGCCCCATGGGAGTTCCTGGTTCACCCCACACCTCGGCTTCACCTTTCACTCCTCCCAAGTGGTTGTTGCAGTTAGGGCTGTGCCAGGTCAAAGCCAGAAACCTAGAACTGCATCTGGGTCTCCCGTGTGGGTGTATACTTGGTCTTCTTGTGTTGTTTCCCAGGAGCATTAGCAGGCAGCTGGATCAGATGTGGAGCAGCCATGGTTTGAACCGTGGCCCACATAGCTGGTGCTGCACACGGTGGCTTAGGCTGCTTTCCCACATCAGCCTTTGAATTTTCTTTTCAATGTTGAAGGATTAGTTCTCTTAGTAGCACCAGCCTTTTGAGGGGAAAAAAAACCCCACAGTACAGATTTTTTAAAATTCATGTTTATTTTACAATATGATTTCTCATAATCCTAAGAGAAAGTTAACGGAGGCAGAAAGTCTTGGAAGGGTGAGAGGTGCATGTGATGCTGGGTGATTTTAGGGTGTTCTGGCTTTGATCCTAAAACATTGCTTTTCTGGCCACCCGTGTTTCTCTCTGTCTTTGAATCTATAGCTATTTTATTTTTGGTTTTGTTTCATTTTTTTCCCAGAAGGTCCTAAAGTGGGGAGAAGTGGTATTTTAGTTGAGGGAATCACTTACTGGGATAGTGCTTATTTTAGGCTGTGTGTGTGTGTGTGTGTGTGTCTACACCCATGTCATGAGAAGCCATCTTTGAATGGCAGACAGTGCTCCCTTCCCAGCAGTGCCGGATTCCCAAGCCTTCATCCTCTTCCAGATTACCAGCTGGAGACCTCAACGTCACCAACCCCCACAAAACCCACAACCACAGCTGCCACCCCGAAGGTCGTCCCAGAGCAAGGCACCATCCTATCGTTTCCTAAAGAGGAGTTCGATCTGGCTGGAAAGAAGCGATTTGTCGGTAAATACCCACGTGTGACTCCCCTCATCAGAGAAGCAGGCTCTGCAGCAGTGCAGAGAAGGTCCTCTTGGCCAGGCCAGGGCAGCACATTCTGAGAAGTTATTTTCCTAGACTGCGGTTCCACCGTGGATCACATGGCCAGTCAGCATTGCCCGGGTACATATGGACATGCTTTCCATAAAAGTCAGCTGAGGGGAGGACCTGGGAGAACGGACAGGTTGGGACTGCCAGTGCAGCTGCTAACCCTGAGACAAGAGTTCACCGTAGCCCAGTCTGTACTGGTGCCTTTGGTTCTTTCCACAAGGTAAGCAGGTCACTGAACGGTGAATGCCACCAACATTTGGAGTTATTACAGGGCTAGTTTTATTCCACTATTTCCCATGATTTTCATTAACCTCAGGACTTGGACTTGATTGTATGCTTCCATCTCAGTAAGAAAGACAGTTTTCCTGGGCCATTCTGTATCCCCATCCTGTGCTTGGTCCTGCCTGTAAGCCCTCCTTTCCCATGCCCCTGTTGAACTTGCCTAATGAGTCAGCTAGATTTAAAAACAGTGGAGACAAGCAACAGCTAAAGCTAATATCACACATTTCTGTTTCCAAAACAAATGCTCTGCCATAGGCAGGGAACAGCTCTTGCCAGCCAAAGATGTAGCATCTACACCCCTCAAACTGGAAGAGCAAGCATGGTAACGTGAGGTAGCATTCCTGCAGTGGGTGCTCACACTGACCCAGGCTGCTCCAACTTTTCTCTCCACAGCCCCATAACCAATTTGAAATGCATACAGCGCTGTTCTTAGATGTTCCAAGAAGCTCTTCAGAGACGAGAAGAAAGGCTTACTGCCTGTCCCTTCTCAACTGTCCATCACTCTACAACGCATAGAACACCTCCCAAGATTTCTTAGTGAGATGCAGGGAATGCCCCCAAAAGCCCTAATTTTATACAAATTGAGAAAACTGAAGAGTTAATGCTGTGTTCTGAGAATTAGGATGTGATGCTAAAAGATGCTGTGGACTCTTTAGAAATTTCTGGACACTGTTTCATGAAAGTCTTGCACAGATGCAGTCCCAGAGTGGGATGTAAGGGGAAAAAGATGGAGTGTTGGAAACAGAGAGGGTTCTGCTGGATGCTTCCATGGCATGCACTCTTGGGGCCAGCAGGCTGGGCCATAACTGGGGAACATATGTCTTCATCCCTCCTGTACCCAGGTCCTTTGCCTGCACTGACATGAGGAGTTCAGAAAAGCTTCCACCTACCCAGCAGAAGGATTAGCTGAGATTAGGCTGCACAGTGATGGTTGTGTCACTCACAGGTTCATGATCTGCAAGGTGACTCTGCTGGGAATAGAAGGCTATCCTGTCCAGAGCTGGCCTCACACACAGACGTGTCTCCAACTTGTGAACCTTTGGGAAGCCCTAGGGGAGCCCACTCAGGACAGAAGCTAGAGGCTGTCGTTCTGGTCCTGAGATAATCAAGACAATGGTCTGGGTTGAGAATGTTCTAGTTAACTGTAGAGTGGACCCAAATCACACTTCTCCAAATATTTGGGTGTAGAAATGACAGCATGCTTCAGGCTTGTGTTGTGCTGGTTATAGGCTAGATATCTTGCCAAATCCCTCTGAAAATAGTCATCCATGCTGGTGGAATCATGGGATCTTTTGCCACTCCCAGGGATTCACTAAGGAGAGCCAGGTGAGAGCTTTGGGGTTTGTCATAAGGCCGTGGGCTGGAGCCACTGGCTGGCCGGAAGAGACAAAACTTCCGAAAGAGTCCTGACTTCATGCAGTAGGTGCTGTGTTTCTGCTTCCAAGAAACAGTCAAACAACCCAGTGTCTCTGTTGTTTCCCAGCTCCTTATGTGACGTACCTAAGTAAAGACTCAGCAGCTCCATGCTCTCTGACGGATGCTCTGGATCACTTCCAAGTGGAAAGCCTGGATGAAATCATCCCAAATGACCTGAGGAAGAATGACCTGCCCCCTCAGCATGTCCCCAGAAACATCACTGTGGTTGCCATGGAAGGCTGTCACTCATTTGTCATTGTGGACTGGGACAAAGCCAGCCCTGGAGACGTGGTAACAGGTGTGTTCCAGCTGATGCTCAGAGTATCCATGGTTCTCTAGGTGGGGGTTATAGACACTAAGGAGGAATGGTGGGTAGACAGATGTACACATAGATGGATGAATGGATGGCTGAATAAAGATGGATGGATGGGTAGATGGATGTATACAAAGATGGATGAAGGGGCAGCTATATACATGGTTGGGTAAGTGGTAATATGGATGGATGGATGGATGGATGGATGATGGATATGTACATGGATGAGTGGATGAATGGGTAGATGAATGAATGGATGTGTAAATGGATGAGTGGATGGGTGGATGGATGGATGGATGGATGGGTGGATGGATGGGTGGATGGATGGGTGGATGGATGGATGGATGGATGGGTGTGTACCTGAATAGGCTGGGTGGAAGTGTGTGTGGATAGATGCCTGGGTGTGTGCATGAATGAATGGATTCAGTGGATGGGTGAATGAGAGGATGCATACACAAATGAGCAGGTCAGATGGAATTTGTAGATGTTTTATGTCAGCATGAGAAAATGTGGGCAACAGTAGAAGCCTGTTGGGGTAGTGTTCAGAGAACTAGGTGGATGTGGGAATTCCTAAGACTGGCTCCGTGAGACTTGGCTTATCTGACATTGAGCTGCCCTATTTCCGTGGGCCTTTGTCTCCTGGATGCAGAACGTCACTGACTCTCCATCAGTCTGTATGGAATCCTGCAGGCAAGCAGGGATAGAGGTAGCTGCCTGTGATGCCGAAGAGTGACTAAGAGCCACCTGCTGCACGTTGCCCTATGAGTCCACCCTGGGATTGGGACTCCATATATCCCCTCTCTGCATGACTGCTGGATGTTTCCCAGCCAGCCTGGTGGTTCCCAGTCCCTTATGCAGGAGTCAAAGTGAGGAAAAGGACCCAAAGATCTTGTACCACCAAACTCTGACCTTGTGGACTCAGAGGGTTCATGTGATCACGCTGAAAGTAGTTCTTATGGAAAGAAAAGTGATATTTTGCTCTGAGAAGCTTCTTTGGAAATGACACCTTCTGAATCAAAGAAAGTCACATGTGTCATGGGGGTCTCTGTGTGAGGGAGGGGTGTCTTGGTCTGCTGGAGAGCTGCTTTCAAGGGTCCAGTGGTCATAAGAACCCTGACTAGCTTCCTAGTGCTTTTGCTTTCTGCCCCCAGTGCCGTATCTTACCCAAACAATGGCTTCTCTTGTGGAGTTCACAAAACAGCTTGAAAGGGCCCCTGTATGCTGGGCAGGTGTGACTGGGGTGGCTGGAAGCTGAGAGTGCCAGGGGCAGGGTGGAGGGGTTTCCGTCTTTGGTGTGAAAATAAAAGCGTCGCTCACTCCAGGGCGTATGCTGCATGGGCTGCTGGGACCAGTTTCCACAAAGTGCAGCATGTTCCTTGTATAAAGCAAATAAATCACTGGAAGGAGGAGGAAGAAAGCTTGTAACTGGAACAGCCAGAAATGCTTTTATTAATTGAATATGGTTTTATGAATGGAAATTTTAAAAGAAGCAAGTAAGCACATGGGGGAAAATCATTGAAAATCTTTTTGCTCTGTAGCATTTGACCCTTTCTTGCATGGCAGATATTACACAATATACTGTCAGTACACTACTGCAATCCGAGCCAAGGATTGCAAAGAAACACTGGCTGCAGGATAAGAGCACTAGCCACGCTGTCTGTGCCTCAAGGGCTCAGGGAGCCAAGAGACAGCCTTCAGCAAATGCCCCATAAATGTCGGGGGCTGAAGTCAGTCATGACTACTAAGTTTTCCTGCAGATACCTTAATCTCAGTTAAGTCAGCCATTAGACATGTACTGCAGGCCATCCTCACACCCCTCCCTGTGCTTTCCCCTCCACCCCCACTTACCCCAAAGGAAGCCTCAGTATCCTGTTGCTGAGTATTCATGGCCCCAGCATAAAGGATATGAATGAGGCAGGCATGAGGAGCTGGGCTGTCCCACCATGAAGCCCTTCCCAGGACTAGGCTGACTTCAATGGACCCCTTCAGTGCAGATAGTACTGCAGTGTGAAGGAAGAACCATAGACCCCAGAAGGTTCCAGGGGAGACAGGGGGCTGAGAGTCATTTGGCAAGGGGAGCACAGGCTCTTTGACCTGCAGAATATCCCAGGATCCACTGTAGAGTTCTGATGTTGATGTGGCAGGGGCAGCTTGCTGCTTCCTCTGCCTGTCAAGACGCTGTATTAACACAGTGGGGCCCAAAACACAGAACACTTCTAGGGGCACTTGTGCCTATAGCTGACCACTCTCCTGGTCACTGCCAAGCAATGATGCACTCACCACCATGGATGTGATGTCATGGAAACTGCCAAGGGGATGGCTCCTTAGGACAAGATCAGCAGGCAGTCTTTGTGGAAGAAAAGTCAAAACATCAGGAGGTGGCCTGAGCTCAGCAAGTGCAACCTCGAAACAGCCTCACAACTCTGGTACCAAGATCATCAGAGAGACCTGATCGCCACCAGGTTCTGATGCAGCCAGAGTTCAGCATGCAAGCACCATTGACTTCCCATCCAAAGTGGGCTGCTGTTACACTCGACACCCTGTCAGCAGTGGGTCATGTGTGTGACTACAGAGCCTAGATGATTGGGAGGTCCTTGCTTGACATTCATCTCACACTTTGTTTACACACTTTCTTTTTGCTGTTCTTTTGTTTTTGTCAGGTTCTAATAGACATCAATTCCCTGTGGTGAACAATATTGTGAGATATTTGCATCTTTATGATTTCTGGGAGTGGTTGTCAATGGAGGAGGTAGTTCTGTGCAAGGACAGCAGCTTGTCAAGGTTCACATAAAACATCTGTGGAAGGAAAAGAAGAGCTATCCTCCAGGGAGTGGTGTGGAAAGTGTCCCGGAGCCCAGCTCACCTGGCTTCCGGCCCCAGTGTGTCCCTCTGCCTGCAAGGCACTTGTCACTGGCCCCAGGCCGTCAAGCAAAGCCTAGCTCTTATATGCATTTTAAGTGTTGACCGTGTTGACCGTCTCCTCCATCGTTACTTTCTGGGCCCAGTTCTCTACCCTGTCAGTCTCCTCATAGGCTCTTGCTCTTCTGCCTGAGCACTACATGGTAGAATTTTGGAATTTCTCAAGGTGGGGTCTTGCCTGTGTCCTTGTTTCTTGTTCTGTCCTCTTTCCCCATAGTCTCATTGAAGTACATGATTTTCAACCATCTTGGAGGAGAGTCATTGATTTATGCTTCAAAGCCACCTCCTCCTCTTCTCTGAGCTTCCTCAGTGACTTCAGCTGCCACATGGAAAAGCACTCAGACTCCACAGAAGTGACACTGGACAGCCTGTGCTCTGGTCCCTAGCTTGGCACTCTGGCTTCAGTCTATCCATTTGTTCAAACCGGGATCTGTGGAGTGACCCTAAAGTCTTTCTGTCACACCATCTTCAGTTCATCATGGAGTCCCCCTGACTTTCACCTTTGCTTTGTCCTGAGACCATCATTTCTCTCTTCTAACCGACTGCCCTGCCCTTCAGCCTTGCTGTCTCTCTCTCCTGGCTACTGTATGGACCCCTTCACTGGCCCAGTGCCATCAACACCACGCCCTATCCACTCTGCCAGGAGAGGGATTAAATACATCGCTTTCCTGAATTCCCCTCCCTCTCTTGCTAAGATGAAAAGCAAAAGGGCATTGTGTGGCTTTTCTACTTTCTGCTGCTTCATGGGCATTTTGTTCCATGCCCGGTTCCTGACACTGAGTTCCACTCATGCTGCCTCCCAGGAGCTCCCTCCACCTGACGTCCTCCCTATTCCTGCCACTCGCCTTGACTGCTTCTCACCCTTCAGGCTTCAGCCACACCTCGTGAGCTCAGGGAAGCTCTTCATGCCCCCCGCGAAAGGTAGCTCCCCACATATGAAACACTGGTCTTGGCCGTGGACTGCTGGATCTGAGGATCCAACCACTTGAGTTCTCAGTACAGTGACTGACAAGCAGTAGTCATGCAGTAAACACTCACTGGAAATTGATTATATTCGTTGATATGAGTTTAGAGATTTAATTTGTCTCTATAGGTACTTCCTCATTTGTCAAAATAGGGATGTAACACCTACATACAAGGGTCGTGCCAATCAGCTCATATAAAACACTCAGCTTATTTAGCATGATAGGAAGTGCTTGAAATATGTGTTCTTTCTTTCATGCACATAAAGGACTGGGTGTGAGGGCTACACAGAGCTGTCGTGTGAGCTTCACTTTGCCTCCTGGGCCAGTCTTGAGGCCGGGCAGGTGTCAGAGCTGAGGGCCCATCCAGGGAGGGCTGTGAGGAGCAGGGAAGACAGAGCAGTTGGACTTCAGCAGATAGTGAGGTGAAGGCAAGGAGGATGTTCAACACGCATACATCAGAGAACCTTCAGTGGATGGGGACGGGCGAGGGTCTCTGTGAGTGAAGGGGTGTTCCGAGCTCTCTCTTTCACACACAGTGTTTGCTATCACCACCCTTCCTTTCCTATCAAGAACAACTGTCTATGTCCCCACTAGGAAATCCCCAAGATTTGGGGAAGTCATTGCTTTTCTGCTTTTTTCTCTGTGCAAGCATGATGGCTGTGATGGGGAAGGCCAGGGAGTAAGAAGGATGCAGCAGGGAGTCAGCAAATCATCAGGAAGCATCTTACTCTCCTGTCTGTCTCTGATACGCAAAGGGTGCCAGGGCTGTGTGTTGTCCTGCCACTTGCCCCCCTTTGGAGTCCGCCCCGGAGCTGCACGCACGGGGTGACCTCAGCCTTCTCTTTTCCACAGGGCTCCTCCATGTGCGTGACTTGGTCGCTATGTGTATGTAATCATTGTATATATACGTTCAAAGAGAGACAAAGAGAAAGAGAGCTGAGGCAGCTCCATCCACTGGTTCGCTCCCCAGATGGCCTCAGCAGTTGGGGCTGTGCCAGGCCAAACCAGGAGTTTCATTCAGGTCTCCTATGTGGGTGACAGGGGTCAAGCACTTAGACCATCCTTTGCTGCTTTCCCAGGCCATTACCAGGGAACTGAATTGAAAGCAGAACAGCTAGGATTTGAACCAGTGCCCATATGAGATGCAAGTGATGGCTTTACCTACTCTACCGCAATACTGGCCTCACTCACTCTGTTCTGTTCCATTTCAGGGTATTTGGTGTACAGTGCATCCTATGAGGACTTCATCAGAAACAAGTGGTCCACACAAGCCTCTTCTGTGACTCATTTGCCCATTGAGAACCTGAAGCCAAACACAAGGTGCGATGTTGTCAGTCATTCAGAGATAAAACATGAGAACCATGCACATGGTCACAGACACCTAGGGCTGAAAATGAAAGGATTCAGGAAAACGTCTTATAATGTGAATTCTCTTTAATTCTAACCAAATGTCAATGAATGCTGACTGAGTGTGTTACATAATATCCTTAGGTAATGTGATTGTGAGTATTATCATTTTTAGGTTGTAGTGTGTATGATTGGCTCCATTTTTTCTTAAGATTTATTTTTATTCTTATTGGAAAGTCAGATATACAGAGAGGAGGAAAGACAGAAAGGAAGATCTTATGTCTGACAATTCACTCCCCAAGTGTCCACAATGGCCGGAGCTGAGCCAATTAGGAACCCAGAGCCTCTTCCGGGTCTCCCACATGGGTGCAGGGTTCCAAGGCTTTGGGCCATTCTCGACTGCTTTCCCAGCCCACAAGCAGGGAGCTGGATGGGAAGTGGGACCTCCAGGATTAGAGTTGGTGCCCATATGGGATCCTGGGCATGCAAAGCGAGGACTTTATCTGCTAGGCTACTAAACTGGGCCCGGTCCCCTGTTTTCATAAATACTGCATGCCATTAAGGAATGAAGGGCGGTTCTGTGTGTGAAAACAAATATATCTGCCTGTAGTCACCCAGAAGTATGATATAGGCAGCACAACCTTCCTGTGTGACCCAGTGGACTAACCATTGCTAAGCAGTTGAGTCGACTGGTATTCAAACTCTGTGGAGTAGAAGTTCAGACCTGTTGGGGTACACTTCATCACTTCATCACACACTGATGAAGGTACAGGTGTGTTTTCACATCCCAGGCAGTGACTGGGCAGGGCCCTATTCTGGAGGCCAGAGTTAGCAGCCCTCGGTATGAAATGGGAAGAACTGGTTCTCAGGAGGAGGTGCACAGGGAAGTGACTGGGTGTTCCTGGTTTACACTGTCTGCTTCCAATGGTAAGGACCACCAGAAAGCTTCCCAGCAAGGCACCAAGCACAAAATCACCGAGCAAAACCATGCAGCCAAACAGCATCTCTGGGAAAACAAAACAAAACAAGACTGGTTTTTGGCATCTTTCAATGTCTGTGTTGTAAATCCCTCTGCCATGGCCAATTTCAAAATCCCAGTAGGCTTGCAGAAATCCTGGGTGGTAGCGATTGGCCCTCCAACTTGCTTTGGCCTTTGCACAGTAAAGAGCCTATGGGGTAGGCTTGAGGGCTGCCATCTTCCATGCAGGCAGAGGAATGCAGGGAAAGCTGGCACCAAGCACGCTGGGCAAGCATACTCACGCAGAGGGATAGAATCTGGGCAGAGGCCAGGGGCACCCAGTAACGCAGAAGCCTGCTGGGAACTTTCTCAGGACATCTGAACACATCATCTGGGCTGCCTTGAAGCGAGTGTCCACAATCTGTTGGGAATGTCAGGATCTGGCGAGTAAACAAAGCTGTAAAGTAGCAACTGAGAAAGCATTTTCTTTTTCCCTATTAATAATGAAGAATGATAAACCAGAGAAAACAAAAGCAGCAAAATCAGAGCAAAAGGGCTTAACATCCGTTTTTTTTTACTGTGTGTGAAGTGATGCTCCCTTTATGGCCCAGCCACAGGATTGAGAAGCTGGGAGAAGAAGGCTTCCGGATGCTCTCCCACGTGGCTCCTTGCGACTGAATTGCCATCCCTGACTGCTCCCTCTCCCCAACACCTGCAGTCAGAAGACCTTGTAGCAGCCTGTGCCACCAGGCTGATGTAGGCTCTTAAATAAAGCCAGCAGGTGGTTATGTGGAATGACGGCTTACTCAGCAGGAGCCAGGGCTTACCCGTGACTTGGTCAGTGAGTACTTAACCAAGCATTCAGTTGGAGTGGGCACCATACCAGTTGTGCATCAGGAGTAGAATTTGGGGAGAAATAAGCATGACTTTGTTGGAACTGGCAGTCTGTGAGAGGACACAGGTTTGTTTTTAAAATAGCACGCATGTGACTTCTATCTTGCAGGGACATTGTACTTTGGGCTTTTTCTTCTGTGAGCCTGGGAGTAGAGAAGGCAGTCAGGTCAGCTGGCTTATGCAGGTCTGACCTGACACACAGGAAGTTCCCCTGGAGAAAACATGTATGGGGTGAGATAGGACTACTGCAGTCAGAGAGCACAGTCCAGAGCACGGTAGGTTCCAAGGAAGTGAAGGGGCTGGCTTACGGAGGATTGGGGATGAGCAAAGACCGGCAGTGCGGTGGGGGGCGGGCAGGTGGGTTTGGTTCCCTGTTTGGTAGTGGCTGCACAGGACATGTGGGCTACTACATTAAATTCCCCAAAACTCAACAGTGACTGGGAAAGTGCAGGTGTAATATGAGGACACCGAGGGGCTCATTCTGTGAGGTTCCCTCTTCCCAGTCCTCGGGGCCCCACTGAAGAGCCAGCCTCAGTCAGTACAGGAGAGAAAGAAGGTCAGCCGCTCTCAGAGGGGGCAAGCATTCAAGACAGCTCTGCTTACTCATAACTGTAGCTCGCTTTTGGCTTTAAGTGAGTGTTACTGACCTTATTCCCTAAACTGAGTCCCAAGTGTGTCTTTGCAGCCTACACACTTTAAATCCATAAGTACAGAGATTTGTCACTTTCAAGGTATTCAAAAGAAGGTGCCAGAAGCTTATGTAAGACGGCGAGGCCTGGGCTGGTTTTGTGACTTGGAAGAGGCAGTGGCTATTCAGATATGAAACACATATTTTAGTCCACAGGAAAAAGTTTCATATGGTTTTGAAAATGAGAATTTGACTTTTCTTATAATTCCAGCTGTTGTTCTACTCAGCATGTTTAGGTTCACTTGGAAACAGTGAGTTAGACAAATGGAAATACAAGGAAATGTCAGAAAGTTTATAGAAAATGGAATTAAAAGATACATCCTGCTAATGCAAAACAGTTTTGAAATCCATGCATAGTTTTTTTTTTTCACAAAACACGTTTTCATGAACTTTTGGCGGGATTCTGGTATGCATGGATTTCAGAGTTCTGTTTTGCACTAATGTATCTTTTAATTTCATTTCCCGCAAACATCTGGAAAGGCTGTTGTAGGTCTTGAGCTGACTCTAGTGCACGGGAATCTGGTCAACAGGGAAGTAGATTTCAGTGGTGAAAACAAACTTGCTGCCAACCGAGGTTCATTGGGGCAGGGGGCATGACATGATGCCCACCTTCCTGCCACTGCCTCGGCTGCCTGCCAAGAGGGAGGCTGTGCTGCTAGAATGAAAGGGGAGGGGCAATGATGCAAGGAACCATGCAGCGAAAAGGGCCCGTTGGTCTCTAAAGAGAAGTGCCATTCCTTAAGGAAAGTTTGACCAGGGTCACTGATGGATGCCAAACCCACTGCTTGAGCTGCCTGCATAGTTTTGCTTTAAATAATTCCATAACCAGTGAACTAAAATATGTAAAATTGGGAAAACACCCACCGCAGAGTGAATTGAGGTCAGGGAACTCATGTGTTTTTAATTGTACATATTTTTTAAAAGAAATTTTAAAGAAGAATATTCTTAAATGAGAGGTGAACGACTTAAGAAGGCTAATTTTGTAAAGCAGATTTTTCATTTTTCTGTTGAATTAAACTCGACTGAAATAAGCCTGTGTACTGTAAGGCCAGGAACTGCCGTGGCCATCTCAGCAGCCCTGCAGGTTGGAGCCAGGAGGGCCGTGCAGCAGGTATCATTACCTCCGTTCTCTGAATGTACATAATGCACTCTGTTAAAATTTAGTGCCTCTAATTACTACACATCAACTCAATATATGACTTACAAATAAAGAATGCTGTAGCATTATTATTTTTTTTTTCATTTGAGAAATGAGACACAGATACGTGCACACAAAGTTCCGTCTCTTGGTTCACTCCCCAGATGCCTGCAAGAAACCCAGGAGCGAGGAAGATGTGGGCCTCTCATGTGGATGACAGCACCCCAGCACTTGAGCCATTACTGCTATCTCTAGGCATTTGTATTAGCAGGAGGCTGAGTCAGGATCCAGAGCTGGGAGTCAAACTCAAGGATTCCCGTGTGGGACGTGCTTATTAACCAACACCTGCCTTCGTGGTTAGGCCAAATGCTCACCCCAGAATTTTGTAATATTTTTTTCTGACCTGAAAAGTAAACTTTTTCTGGTGGCCCAAAGCACCAGCCCTGGGATGCTGTCACCTCTTGTTCTCCTGTGGTTAGCTAAATGCCAGGCAGGATGAGGAGACAAAGGGTGAGGATTGATACAATGGTTGATGCAGTTAATACAGAGAAGTGATGCAGTCATGGCGTTGGCCTCTGTCCAGTGTTTCTCCAAGCACTGCTTTCTGTCTGGTAGCTCATAAGAATGTAAAGTAGGAGAACTTGAGGTCTAGGTTTGCTCTAAAGAGCCAACCAACCTAGTGTGCTTCTGGCATGTTCTCTGTTCCAAGACAGTGTGCAGCCCTACAGCAAAGGCTGTCTTTCCAGGACCTTCCACATTCTTCTCTTGGGCTTGCTTCTTTTCGCTGGAGGTGCAGGAGCCCCTGCCTCACTGACTTGTGGGGCCATCCATTCCCAGCCCCAGAGCCAAAGGCTCCTCCTGTGCCCACAACATTCCTGTCAGGTTAGTTTCTCTGAAGAGGCCAGCTTCCGGCCAGCTTCCCCTGCTCCTTGCCAACCATGCATTGCCTCACCACTGAGTCAAGACTCCTGCTCTTTCCCTTGGTTGCAGAGATCAGAATGCAGTTAAAGAGTAAGTTGTCTGGGGTTCTGCTCCCCAGACTTCCTCTGCTTGGGCTGGGGAGCTCACGCTAAGAGGAAAGCAGCATCAACAAGGAGCAGCTCAGGATGTGGGCACAGGGGAGCCCATGCCATCTTGATGCCCTGAGGAGCGCGTGCTGCCTGAATAACCTCTTGCCTCAAATGCTCTTGTCTTCTCACTAGCTATATGCCTCCACTATGTGAATATATACAAACACTCATAGAATAATACTATGGGATAATAATCAAAAGTTTATGAAAATGGGATGAAAGAGTTTTGTTTTGGTGCAATTCTAAAGTCCGTCTAAGCATGAGGTCTTTCGCAATTCACAGAAAGGTTCAGTCTCTCTCACGCTCCCTCTTTCTGCTCTCTGTCTTGCTTGCTCACTCTCATTCTGAAGTAAAGCCAATTTTAAAATAAAAGGAATAAAGAAGCATGGTCATTTAGTCTAGTGGTTAAACTGCCAGTTAAACGTGAATTAACTCATGGTGTGTGCATTTGTCCAAGCTAGGACTGGAAGACTGCTCTGAGTAGATGCTCAAGTTTTTGGAAACCTATCCTATTATGCAGAAACCAAATCAGTCAGCTTCTCACATGGTGTTTCTTCCTGGTTTCAGGTATTATTTCAAAGTTCAAGCCAAAAATCCACAAGGCTATGGACCCATCAGCCCATCGGTCTCATTTGTCACAGAATCAGGTAAGAAAGTCCTTCCAATCTTGTCTGTTTTGTTCTCAGAAATAAGACAAACTTTCCAGAGTAACAATGACTGTGATGAGTAAATTAAAACAACAGAACCCTTACTTTTTGTATTTTAAAGAGTTAGTGGTGAGTTTCTCTACTTTTAAAAAAAGTGTTTCCTTGCAATTTGGCCCTCTTGGGAACAAGCAGAAAGGCCCAGTTCCAGTAATGGGGGAATCTGGCATTTAGCCACAGAGGAGAGACAAGTATGAATCTACATGTACCAGAGTCAGGAAGAGTTTTCCAAAAGGTTTTGCTGCAGGAGGCTGAGGTCATGTCCCGCGTGTGGATGAAGAGGGTGTTGCTGCTTGATTGGCCAGACTGCTTGTCAGGAGACGTGGGGAGAGCTCAGTTAAAATGATGGTCAGTCATATGAGAACTGCCCCCGAGCATCACGTTGTGTTTTTGGGGTGCTGGTAAACGAGCAGTTAGGCCCTTCCCTACCACATCGCATGGCCCTCTGCGTGAGGCACTGCCCACAGGGCTGGCCCGCTGTGACCCTTCTTGGGTCACAGAGGAAGTCACATGAGCATGCAAGTCCCCACAGTGGAGCCAGCAGTGCCCCTCACTGCTCTGGCTTCCATCTCTTTAGATGGAAACTTGTCACAGGAAGGTGTTTTCAAGTGGAATGATTTTAAAATCTGCTGAATCAAAATATGTGGGCAAGATAAACTGCTTTGCGAGAATGTACTTGAAACGAAGGGCCTCAGAAGTGGCTCACATGCCTCTCCCTCCTGCCTGCTTTCTGTCTTCTACGTGGGATCACAGAGTGTGCACTTCGACTGGCCACTCTCCTTCAGCACCATCTTTATGGGTGATCCACACTGTTGTGTGGATCTCATGCCTTCACGCTGTGCAGCGACATTTCATCGTGTGGCTATGCCACAACGTTTCTGTCCAGCCCTGTTCCCTGTCCATAGATACCTTGGCTGGTTCTACTTCTTGGCACCACAAAGATGCTATAAGTGTTTATGTGCAGATGTTTGCACATATCTGCACATATGTGTTACCACTTGCTTGGATGAACAAAAGGGCAATCAGTGCATCCGAAAGTGAGTATAGGCTCCTTGGAAACTCCCGAACTGTCCACTAAAGACGGAGAGGGTTTTTTTCTATTTAAATGAATACTGAATTATTTCGTAGTACCCAGTAGTAAAACATAGTTTTCAGGACTCTACAGATTATACGTAAGAGTTTTTCCAAAAAAGAAAATGCTTAGAAAGTGAAAATGGAGGAAGAACATTGGTGTCTCTTGAGTCTGCCTGCCTGTCTGTCTTTGCTGCAGTTTGGCTAGCTCTTTCAGTTACAGTAAGCGTCCCAGCTTGCATTTCAGTGGGAGGTAATGTGAGGTCAGCTGTTTCTTTTTCATTCCACAGATAACCCTCTGCTCGTCGTGAGGCCCCCAGGTGAGTTCCTCTCCCTGCTCATCTTGAGACTGGCAGTGAGGCTGAATGTTGCACAGGAGTTTGCTGTGGCTGCTCACAACCAGCTGGACCACTTCTGCAATAATTTTTCCATCAACCCCAGTTGCTTTGAACCATTCATCCAGATCTGTGCAAAAGAATGGCCTGGGAACTTAAATATCTTATTGATTTGTTTGAGAGATAATAATTGTTTTCCCTCCCTGGTTCCTCCCCAAGTACCTGCAATGGCCGGGGCTGTGCTGGGCCAAAGTTGGAAACTGGGAATTCAATCCAAGTGTCCCACATGAGTGGGAGGGACCCAATCACTTGAGCCATCCAAGTGCTGCCTTCCAAGGCTACATTGTCGGGAAGCTAGAGTCAGGGGTGAAGCTATGAATGGCAATGTTTAAAAAGTTTGCTTTGAAAAGCAGAGAAATCACATGTACTAGTTCACCCTCCAAATGCTTGCAGTAGCCAGTGCTGGCCAGACCAAAGCTAGGAACTGAGAATCCCGTCCAGGTCTCCCACGTGGGTGACAAGGACCAATGTACTGGAGCCATCGCCCGCCGCCTCCTGGGATGTCCGTTAGCAGGACGGAGTCAGGGCTTGAACACAACATTCTGACATGGGATGTGGGTGTCGGTGCTGGCTTCATCGCAATGCCACATACCGGCCTCAGGAATGGGAAGTGTTTAATGGGGCCCAGACAATCAGTATCTCTGAAAAACCACAGTGGAGTAGCCAATATCTATGACATAAAGATTTACATAATCCTACGCACATTTTAAGTGACTGGAAAGATGGTGCACCATGAAGGTTTACTTTGCTTTTCAATCAACCTGAGAAATCCCAGCTGCTGAAGTTCAAGATAGGCCTTAATGTGTGGCAAGGAAGGTGGGGAGTCTGCTAAGGGGCTTGGGGTGGGGTCATGTAACCCCCAAAATCAGATCTGCCAATTTAGCTTGTTTTCTTGAAGGATAAAGACCTTACTGAAATATACACAGGCAAAGTATATTCACATTTTTGTCTAAACTCCTTTATTGTATTTCAGTAGTTAAAAAAAGAGAGAGAGAGAAGGAGAAAGGAGGGAGGTGTTCATCGGAGAGGGAGGTGTCCATTGGAGAGGCAGGAAAAGGCACCCAGAACATCCCTGGGAGTGGGGCAGGTGTGATGAATGCATGCAGCTGTCTGTGGGCTGCCCTGACTCAGCAGGCGTCTTTTGTGCTGTCAAGGTGGCGAGCCCATCTGGATACCATTTGCTTTCAAGCATGACCCCGGCTACACAGACTGCCATGGGAGACAATATGTGAAGCGGACGTGGTACAAAAAGTTTGTAGGAGTTGTTCTTTGTAATTCACTGAGGTATAAGATTTACCTTAGTGACAACCTGAAAGGTAGGTCATTGTGGCCGACAGGTGGTGGAGGCGTGGGCACTTGTGGTTTTATCAGATGCTGACTTCATGAAGCAGGTGCATCTGAGCATATTTGGGGCCTGGACTTGTGGTTCACATGTAAACCAGTTTCATGGACTTTGCTTAGGTTACTAGCTTTTACATTGGCACCCAGCAATAGATAGTCTTTAGTACACTGTTTTGGGGATAAAGTCCAACATTATGCTAGAAATTTAAATATATGTCTTCTTTGAAATTAATTCACTAATAATAGACATGACTGTGAACTGAAGAAATTGAGGGAAAGTTTCCCCAAGCCCCTATCACTGCTACAACTTTTCAGGGAGGAAAAGTTACATGGTGAAACACAGATCAACAGTACTACGCATTTTGTGTCCAAATGAAAACCACATAATTTTTTATTGAGCAGAGGATTAAAGTGAAGACTGGCATAAGAACACCAAACTAATCACACTTAAAAATGCTATTTCTATCCAGCTGGCTTTGGTCTACTCATCTACATAAGCTTAATTTTTATTTTGAAATTTGTGCAATTTTCAGTTTTTTAGAAAATGCATCTCATGAACTTGCAGCTGCTCTGTATTTTGCCATTGGTAATTTTGATAAATACCTTCATGTTTCTTTCTCACCAGCTGTGATTAAAGATAGTGTCAAGACTAACTGCCACACTCCGCTCTGGCAGTTTCTGTGTACATCACTGTCCCCGTGTTTTCTCTTTTTCCCTTCCCCTCTCTTCCAGAACCATCCCTTTCCTCTGCTGCTTCGGAATTGCTAGGTGAGGTTAGCACAGGCAGCTCTGGAATCCCAGGTTTGGGAGACACTTGGCACTTGCTGAATTAGTCGTTCAGCACCGCGGACAGCGTCCAGTATCACAGACACACCCTTTGTCTAGTCATGCATGAAAATAAGTTGTTCTTTTAGGTTGACCTTCCTGCCTTTCACAATCATTTCATAATATTCTCTATCAGTTTTCTGACTTTCCTTTTTTTAACTAAAGCATAATCAGGCCATCATTTACAAGCTGTAACCACCTGTAATTTCTACTTCCTGATTGTTCCTTCAGGATTTAGCATACATGCTTTCAGAGAAATCTGATTGTGTTTATGAGGTTGATGCCGTTGTCATCATGTTTCACACCTGCAAAGTGTGTCACACCCAGAGTAAACAAGGGGCCCAGTTGAAATGGCCTCAAGTTTGTGGTACCAGCTGGCACTCTTTGAGTAGAAACTGACTTATTCTGTTCCTTTGTGCAGACACGTTCTACAGCATTGGAGACAGCTGGGGAAGAGGTGAAGACCACTGCCAGTTTGTGGATTCACACCTTGATGGGAGAACGGGGCCTCAGTCCTACGTGGAAGCCCTCCCCACCATTCAAGGTAATCCGAGCTAGGGCCTGACACACTTGGATTACACTGAGAATGGGGGATTTATATAGAAGGAAATTCATGATAGCTCTGCCGCTGGTTTACCATCTGAAGATGGATTTAGATCATCAAAAGTAATGAATTAGCACAATATTCCTATTGAGCAGGTCAGAATACAAAGGAATATAGAATATTCCTTCCATCTCTGGTGGAAGGAATGTGCTCTGAAATTGGCAGTGTAAAACAATGGTGATGGTGTGAAACAGTGCACCTTGCAGCATAGATAATGACAAGAGTGACATCATACAGTTGTCCTGTTCTTGGGTGATCATTAAGGCCACTGACTTCAAAGGTGGCAAGTCGTGTGAGGATACTTGGAAAGGTTTACAGAGGAGGCAGGGTCTCTGCTGACCTTTAGAGACAGGCTGGACATGCAAGGAGCAAGGGCACTTCCAAGCAGAGCCTGGCATGAGCGAGAGTAAAAGGCAGCCAGAAGTATGTGTGACCACTGTCATGGGTGGCTGGAGACAGTGGCATCCCAGCTGTCTGGGTGTGGCATTACAAGGGGAAGATGGGTGTGCCCACCTCCAGGTTAGTCCCTGAGGTGTTGCCAGGCAAGTTGCTACTCTATTGAGCAGGCAAGTGAAGACCTGTTCCCCACCATTAGTGAATTGAATGTTTGGGAGACATGAGGTATGGTATGCTGATATGCCAAAAAATAAAGCTAAAAAAACCGCCTTAATAAAAAGCATCTTTGCCCATTCTCCAAGAATTAAAATACATTAAAATAAGTGCATCAAGGTTATCTTATCCAAACAGAATCAATAGGGTGTATCTAACCACCCACCATGTATCTAAACATCAGTATATCTTTATATACTGTATGTGTATAAAATGGATATATATAATATATATATCATCTATTCATCCACTTCCTATTTATCCTATGATCTATCTAACTTACTTACCTATAATCTGCATAAATGATCTCTCCAGATTTGTGAGATCTGGCTGCTTACTCAGCTCAGGGCTGTCCCCTCAGTGAGTGCTCAGTAGCCCTCAGCTAACCCTGGCCTTGTCTAGAAGAGAGAGGCAGCAGGGTGAGTAGTGAGCTTCCTCCTCCCTACCCAAGCCATGCCTGTGTGGACACTCAAGGCAAACCCCGTGGGCACCTGTGACCCTGTGTCGGCCTGTAAGTCACACATGTCATAAAAAAACTTTGTCTGGAAGGAGGATGTGAAGGTGAGCATTCCCACTGTTGGTCCCCACATCTCTGATGCTTTCCTTCCCTCCCCATCTGTCTCCCTCAACCCCACCAGGCTACTACCGCCAGTATCGCCAGGAACCAGTCAACTTCGGCCAGATCGGTTTTGGAACCCCCTACTACTATGTGGGCTGGTATGAGTGTGGGGTTGCCATCCCAGGAAAGTGGTAATCCCTGGAGCCATGGTCCTGCAAGTTCAACCGTCCAGTCCTGGCCTGCCAGCCGACTCATCCCAGGCACTGTGAGCAAGAGAAAGACAGTCACACACTCCGCCACCCCTCTGCTCCTGGCTGGCGGGGAGGCCATGGGATGAACACTGGACGATTTCATCATCTTAAGTCTGGAACTCAGTCCCACTTACTGACCTTGACTGTGAGCAGGACATGGCCTTGCCATTCACTATGCGTGTCATGGTTTCTGTCTGTAGTGGTACAACCAGAGTCATCACCAAGTAACCACTTTCCATGACTCACAGACTAAATTATGGTCACAGAGTGTGGGCACTCGGACACCTCCAGGGAACAGCAGAGCCGTGCCATGTGCTTTCTATGTTGCTTGTTTTGGACACTCCCAAGCCAGCCCATTTTAAGCTTCAGATCTCTATGTATGCAGCAGAACCAAGTTACTAAGAACACCGCCCAAAGAACCACAGCCTACCTGAAGTTTATTCTGTGGACTTGCCCACTGCTAGAGAATATCTATCGTGTTGTTTGTCAGTTCTCAAATGTGGTCTATATGTATATATGCATATACATAGGCACCCTGGTCTGCAAGACTATTGATTAAAATGGCTATATTTGTACTTTGTTCACGAGAAAAGCGTGTATGGGACTTTGTTGATAAAACCATCACTGTGGACATGTCATTCAAGTGTCCAAGGAAACTCTCACACTCCATGCACAATGAGGCAGCCAGGAGCGGGTGCTCACTCCATGCACAATGAGGCAGCCAGGAGCGGGTGCTCACTCCTTGGGCAGGGGCTGTGCCCTGGCAAGCAGGGGCGCCGAGCTGCCGTCAGTGAAAGGCCTGCATCATGTTTCACCAGCTGCAGGGCCAGGCCTTCCTGCTGCGGGAGCCTCTCCGTTCCCCTGTGGAGAATGTCAGGGTTGCCTCTTGGTGGGCAAGTCCAGAAAAATGGAGATCTCAGATCCCAAACTCTTGCTTTTGAAACTCCCTTTCCTCTTGCCTTCCTCTCCCACTCTCTGCTCCCGTGGAAACGAACCAGAGCCAAACCCTGCTTTGCGGCTCATGGGGGTTGCTGCTGCCGCCAGTTACTGCAGCGTGCCCCCGGGCTGTGGAAGCTGCACGTGGCCCATACCCGGCACTGAGGTATGGAACTCTAGTGAGGCCAGGCCAGACGTGTGCTTCAAATTTCACCATGCCCCTTCCATGGTAACCAGCGGTAGCACTTGGCAAATATGCTGACAGCAGGGGAAAGAGCTGGAATTCCTCAGGAAGAAAGATCAGGCATTAGCCATGTCATAGTATGCTCTTACACATGAAAAAGGAAGGAGACCCCCAATCTCCCACACTGGTCAATGTGCAAGGGAGCTGCACACGCCATGCCAAGCCCATGCATCCAACAGTCAGGATTTTCCAAGCAGCACAGAAATCTTCTTTTTCATAGTTCCCCTGCAGAAATATAAATAATTAAAGACTTCTTTTCCGCCCTGCCTGGAAGCTGCAGGCTGAATTTGCTTACAGAAATTGGAAGTTAGGCTAAACTGAATGCTTGAAATTTTAGAGAAATGTCCAACACCTCTAGAGGATAGAATTTCCAGAATAAAAACGTTACAGAAGAATATAAGCCTAGGCACCATGTGAGGGTTCTTTAGGAAGAACTGATAGAATACACAGACGGATGACGGATACATAGATGGGTAAACGTAATCCCTGGTACCTGCAGATAGAACAGGCATAGGTAATATGGTACATGGTAGATATGTACATGATATATAGACATAGGTATGACATAATAGATAAATATGATGGGTAATAGATGATAGATGGTAGATAGAAAAATGAGAGGTGACTCGTTAGGGGAGCCACCTCACAGGGTGACAGAGGCGAGGAGTCCCTGACTGGTCATGTGACAGTGGGAGACTCTGGAATACCAAGGCTCCATCTGTGCCCAAAGCCTTCAGGCCCAGAGACGCCAAGACTGTGACTCTGTGTCTGAGGACTAAGTCCTGAGAGTATAAGCCAGTAGACCAAAAGCTTGAAAAGCTGAAATTCTGAAGTCCCAGGCTGGAATAGAGCATGTCCCAGCTCCAGGAGATGGAGACCATCCCGTCCACCCTGAGTTAGGGTTCACCCTGCACAGTCCACAAATCCACATGCCTCCTCTGTACTCACCCTCAAAGACACACCCAGCACTAATGCTTCACCTGCTGGCCAAGTTAAGTAGCACAGGTACATGGTCACCATTCTGCTCAAACTAGCCTGGGTAATGGCATCATGTTTCTAGAATACTAACTTATGAGGCCTAGCACAGTAGCCTAGTGCCTGAAGTCCTCGCCTTACATACACCAGAATCCCATATGGGTGCCAGTTCATGTCTCGGCTGCTCCACTCCTCATCCAGTTCCCTGCTTGTGGCCTGGGAAAGCAGTAGAGGATGGCCCAAAGCCTTGGGATCCTGCAGCTGTGTGGGAGATGCGGAAGAAGCTCATGGCTTAGGATCAGCTCAGCTGTGGCTGTTGTGGCCATGTGAGGATTGAATCAGCGGAAGATCTTTGTTTCTCCTCTCTGTAAATCTGACTTTCCAGTAAGAATAAATAAATCTTTTTTTTTAATTAGTTATTTCCAGAAACCACACTGTAGGAAGACTGTTGGGGAGTGAAGAGATGAGAAGGAGCATTCAAGTTTGCAAACGGGCAGAAAACCAGGTCAGGTGAAGTCACCATGGAGGACGGTGGTCGCCAGGACAGGTGGAGAGGCTCCAGAAGGGAGTGGTCACCTAAAGGGGCAGAGCCTACGCCAGTTCTGGAGAGCAGAAGCAGACACAGTGGGGATTATGTGGAAAGAACACTCCACAGAGAATTGTAGGAAAGTCCATTCTGTAAGAGACATCTCTGGAACATGGCCAGATGTCCATCCTGAAGACATAACTAGCACGTCCACACCTGCTGCGGAAGCCCTGGCTGCGAGTTCAGGATGGTTTCTGCAAATGAAAGGCTCCTAACTGAACAGACAGGAGGCAGTGTGGGGCAGGGGCCATATGCCATTCACAGGTTTGCCATGTTTCTTGTCTGTTTTAGAAACAGTCAGTGTAGACATGGTATGGTTTTGTTGAGGCTTTTAAGAAGGTTCACGTGAAGTCTGAATTGAAAAACGAGCCGAGGTTGTTTCACAGCTGTTTGTTTCTCTTTCTCACCCTTAATCTGCGTCTGTTTTCTGACAATCAGCTTCCTTTGGGCACACTATGGAGTTGGCCTTTAGCGATTCGGTCCTGGGTTCCCCCTCCCCCGCCCTGGGTGTCCCACTTGACCTCTGGTTTGTGTTGTAGTCTCAGAAAGTTATCTTAAGTTTATATTTATGTTCCACTTGGCTAACATGTAATTTCCAGCTCTCATCGGGGTTGTTTTTGTTTTCCCCTTGACCTACTTGAACCCCTTATTGGGGTCAGCCATGGACGGTGGGATGCTTGGAATGGGAGGAGGAAGATGGCCAGCATGGAAAAGAGGTCACTGCCGCAGTGGGTAATTACACGAATATTCCACTGATGGGGTCAGCCCAAGTTTCTGTGAGGCTCTACCCTGGGCCATCCCAACATTGTCTCCATAAGATGTAACCATTTGGCAAGCAAAGTGAAGAAGCATGCGAGTTGATTTTGAAGAGTGAAGTAAACTTCAAGTTTGGGGAGTGAACTATCGCCCCAGTTCACACTGGTGCTGAGTTCAGGGAAAGCATACAGTACAGGGGAGCATGCCATATGGAAGATGGGCAAGGGAGCGTGCTTGTTCTGAATCAGAGCTTTGGCTGCCCTGACATGACTGCCAGTGAGACTGCTGCTGAGGCTCCAGGGACAGCCTTGGCCCGGTTCCATGGGGCTCCCATCCCCTCACTCTGCATGGCTCCACTCTCGTCCCCATAGTCTGGCTTTCTCTGGACACATGTGTCCCAAGCAGCTACCAGTGCCTCATCTGTACCCAGAGCAGTTGGGATGACACAGCCCACAGCTGAATTACTCATTGTGGGTCTTCTCACTAGGACTATTTCTCATGAGTGCAGGATGGGGTGGACTTTGTTCATCTCATAGCCCCTGGTTTCACTGTGTGCACAGTGCACATTTGGGGTTCAGCTGACGCTGGCTGAGTGATAGGAGAAGCTGATTAAGCATCATTTCCTGGAGATGACCACACTCCTGTTCCTACAGTGTGGGGGACAGCAGTAGGATTAGACCAAGATAGACACACCCGACCCAAGCTTGACCTAAGCCACAGTCTGGTTCGTTGGGTCTGGATTCTAGCATCTGGGACAGCTAATGCAGAACTAACAGGTGCCAAGGTCAAGCAGACAGAGCAGCTGGGCTGTGTCCTCCCAACTGCTCTGGGTACAGAGAATGGAAGTGGACCACCCAGTGTGGTTGAGACTGGGGGATTTCCACGTAGGGTTTCAGGCTTGAGTCTTTAAAGCATTGGAGAGAAATGCTCATTTCCTGAACTTGGAAGGCCGAGATTAGCCTATGTGGCCATTGTTTTGATATAACTTAGACACCTTGAAGGAGAAGCTCTGCAGGCTCTTAGACTTATTTTTAACTTGAAAGGCAGAGTGATAGGGAGGGACAGAGAAATAGAATCTTCTCTCCATTATTCACTCCCCAAATAGCAGCAATAGCCAGTCAGGTCGAGCCAGGCCAAAACCAGGAACCTGGCACTCCATTTGAATCTTCCACATATGGGCCGAGGTCCTAGTACTTACGCCATCCTCTGTTGCTTCCTAGGTGTGTTAGCAGGGAGCTGAATCACAAGTGGAGCAGCTAGGACTCAAATCGGGATGCAGTCTGGGATTTGAATTATGATGTGTGACTAAAGAGCACACATGTGTGGCTTTCCACAAAACCAAGGGCAACTACCTCAAAATGAGCTGAGGTCTCTCCAACAACCAAAAACAGAGCTGTTTTCAGGAAACCAAGCACTTGCTTGAAGCTTATCTTGTTCCCACGGTCAACTGAACCTCAGCATCATGAGCTCTTTGCTTTTTGCGTCTCTCACATAGAAGTGGAAGACCTGACACCATGGTACCTTCTTATGCCTCTGGAAAGGGGAGCCCAGAGCATGAAAGTTAGGGAGCTGCATTCCCCTCTTGTGGTGGGGAGGGGCAGGCGGGGGGTGAGAAGCAAGGCAGCCTGTAGGAGAAGAGAACCATGTGAGGGAGTTCTGAGCTTCGGTGGTCCTGGGAAGTCTGTGGCTCTCCACCCATCTAATGCCTGTGCTGGGAAAGTCTAGGAGCTGTGCCTCCAGCTGGGGCAGGGTCTAAAGGTGGATCCTCCATCGTTGCCAGCTTCCCTCCTTATTCCTCCTCTGGACTGCTTCTGTCATCTTCACCCTCTGCTTATCCTGCATAGGCATGGACTCTAAAAGGAGCCTGGAACTTACGCTTAGAAAAGCAGCTTCATGCAGAACCAAGAGGCAACACTGCCCATGGTTCATGGGATAAGAAGGATGCTGCAGGTAGCAGGTGGCTGCAGGGGGACCTTTAGGGCATCTCAGAAATGAAATGGGAAGAGAGGGAGGGGTGAGAGACACAGAAGAGGAAAAGGAGGAGGAGTAAAGAGAGATCTTTATTTAGATTGTCTGTATTGATCACCCA